GGTTTTCCCAACTTTTTAAAAAGAAATAATACAGCCGGACGGCTATACGCGGTTTTTTCAATTTTTTACAAAAGAAACCCTATAGCCGTTACGCTATACGAGGTTTTTTCCTAATTTCTGGAAAAGAAATAGTATCGCCGAACGGTTATACCCGGATTTTTACAAATTTTTTGTGGAAAAAGTATAGGCGTCCGGCTACACTGGCGTTTTCCTAAATTCAATTTAAAGAAATCATATAGCCGGGCGGCTATACTCGGGTTTTTAATTTTTTACAAAAGAAATAGAGTGCGGCTATACTTTTCCTAATTTTTTCAAAAAGAAATAGTATAGCCGGCACTACTCGGATTTTTCCAATTTTTTAAAAATAAATAGTATAGCATGAGGGCTATATTGGGTTTTCCCCCATTTTTTATAAGAGAAATAGTATAGCCGAACGGCTATACTCGGATTTTTCCAAATTGTTTCTGAAAACAGTATAGGCGCTCGGCTATACAGATATTTTTCTAAATTCTATTTTAAAAATGGTATAGCCAGTCGGCTATACTTGTTTTCCTAATTTTTTCTAAGAGAAATAGTATAGCGGTGTGGCTATATTAGGTTTTTTCCTAATTTTTTTAAAAAGAAATGGCTATACTCGGATTTTCCCAATTTTTTAAAATAATTAGTATAGCCACATGGTAAAATTCACGTTTTAAAAAAAGAAAGTGTACAATACTCATACTGAACATATACGTACATATTTTTCATGTTCAATACACATATTTGTTTTACAAAAAATTTTATAATGCACAAAAAATTCATGTATTATACACATTATTAAATACAAATAATATATTAAAATATTATAATGTGACCGAACTTTTATTAAATAGTATAGACGCGCAGCTATACTATGGTTTTTTAAATTTTTCCGAAATTTTTTTTTAAAGCTCAGCTAAATTGTGTTTTTTCCAATTTTTTATAATAGAAATCGTATAGCCGGACGGCTATACTACGTTTTTCCCAAATTTTTAAAACAGAAATCGTATAGCCAAGCGGCTATCCTCAGTTTTGCCAATTTTTTCCAATTACTTATAATAGAAATCGTATGGCCGCAAGGCTATACTTGGGGAAATCGTATAATGGAAGTCGTATAGTAGAAATCGTATGGCCGCACGGCTATACTGGGGGTTTTCCAAATTTTTTAAACAGAAATAGTATAGCCGTACGGCTATACTAGGTTTTTTCCTAATTTTTCAGAAAGAAATAGTATAGCTTAACGGTATAAAATTCACGATTTTAAAAACAAAAATGTACAATACTCATATTGAACACGTATGTATGTATTTTTCTTGTTTAGTACATGTATTCGTACAAAATTTTCAATAATACACACAAAATTCATGTATTTTACACATTATTGAATACAAATAATACATATTAAAATATTATATTGTGGCTGAGCTTTTAAGTTGTACTTTGCCTAAATTTTGCCGAATAAAACACATATGTATAATAAAAATAGTATAGCCGGACGGCTATACTGGGGTTTTGCAATTTTTTAAAAAAAGGCTATACTATAAAATCAATGGTATAGCCGTGCGGCTATACGATTTTTTTAAATTATACTGGGTTTTTTAATTTTTTGATAAAAGAAATCGTATAGCCGCCGGGTTCTACTCGGTTTTTTTCCCAATTTTTTAAAACATAAATAATATAGCCGGTCGGCTATACTTGGTTGTTGCAAATTTTTTATAAAATAAATAGTATAGCCGTACGGCTATACTCGGTTTTTTTTCCAAGTTTTTCAAAAGAAATAGTATTTTGCAAGGCTATACTGGGTTGTTTCCAATTTTTAATAACGGAAATACGCTATACTCTGTTTTTCCAAACTTTTTAAAAATAAATAGTATAGCCACACTGCTACACAATGTTTTTTAATTATTTATAAAAGAAATGGTATAGCCGTTCGGCTATACTAGGTTTTTCTTAATTTTCAAAAAGAAATAGTATAGCCGCGCAGTAAAATTCACGTTTTTTGACAATATTCATATTGAACATGTACGTAAGTATTTTTCATGTTTAATACACATATTTTTTACAAAATTTTCAATAATGCACACAAAATTCATGTATTACACACACTATTGAAAGTAAATGATATATATTAAAATATTATATTGTGACTGAACTTTTAAGTTGTATTTTGCCAAAATTTTGCTGAATAAAATACATACGTATTTTACTTGTATAGCAGCGAGGATATACCAAATTCATATCCATAACGGACAAACTAATGCAACTAGGAGTGTCCTTTTTTAATTATTTGTTTTTATTGAAGAGTATAGACGCATGGCTATACTTTGGGTTTTTAAATTTTTTCGAAATATTTTTTAAAAGCGCGGCTATATTGGGTTTTTTTTCCATTTTTTAAAAAAACAAATGTACAATACTCGTATTTAACATGTACATATGTATTTTTCATGTTTAATACACTTATTTTTACAAACTTTTCAATAATGCACACAAAATTCACGCATTATACACATTATTGAATACAAATAATATATATTAAAATATTATATAATGGCTGAACTTTTAAGTTTAAGGAAATATAACAAAGTGCACCTAAAAATATAAGCAACTTTTTGATATCGCTTGTGTTCGTGTTTGATGTTGTTCACGTTACTTAAATTGAGAAGTTCAATATGAGGACTTGCATGATCAGATCAACCATTAGTTTAGTTATATATATATATATAATATATGCATATCTGAGATGCATTATGTGTAGATGAAAACATGAGGTGATGTGCATTACAAATGAAAGAACCCTACAAAAATTTATTGCTATTAAATGAAAGAACCCTACAAAAAAAATTGCCTTAGGCACACGACATGCTGCGAGTCTAAATGAAAGAACCCTACAAAGAAATATATATATCGTCAAAAAAGAGAAGTGATTTAGTATGAGCTTGACAGGATCATTTCAAATCAGAAATGGTGATAACTGTCCCAAAATGAAGATGGTTACAGCACACTGATTTATAACTAACACCCATGTGCTGGCATGGTTTTGATTTATGCTGTACAAACTTTTATTGTGATCCACACACGTGGCACAATACTGATAGAGAAAGAGTGATCCAATTAGATTAGCTACCTTAAACCAGAAATCACTTAGGGGCAAAGGCACATTTAATTCTGCAACTTTTTTCTAGCAACATCATCACTGCAACTTTTAATCAAAGGTCTAGATCACCTAAACTTCAGCACAGGGTCCCATTCGATTATGTTTAATATGAATCTAATTATTTGTTTTCCTTTCTCCTTTATATTTCATGTAAAGTTAGAACTTAGAAAATGCTCCTCCATTAAAGTTTTTGAGTTCAAGTCCTAGCATCCGTTTAATTTGCATGAGTTTAATATATTATCGTCATTCTCAATAAAAAAAGGTCAAAAAATAAAAAGGCTTAGAAGTTCTTTTTTATTGTCATTAAAATTTTACTTTAAAGCATTCATCCTGGAAAAAGTCCTGCCAATACTTATGAAATTGCACTGTTGGAAAGAAAATCACTTTTTATTTTTACTGCATAATGAGCATGTTGAAACAAAGTTCTAAATAGTAGAGCTTTATCACATGGGGAAGAGTTGTGATCCTAATTTATTTATGAAAAGCAGAACAAGTCCAAAGCCTCTTTGTGACTTTCTTGTTCACTAGCTAGAATCAATGTGAAAGCCAAATTTGTCTGCCTCCAAAAGGATATTGGTTGGGGTATAAAGTAAGTTCTGTCTTCTATTTCCTATTTTTCTTGTACTATGTTAACATTATTATATGCTGAAAGATTTCTTTTTCTTTTGGGGTCTGCATAACCTTAATTAAGTAATATCCGATCACGGATGAATGAAATGGTCACGGATTCACACAAAAATTTAATCCAGATTATCACGAGTTGCCAAAAACTAGTTGAAAATAATGGTTCTTGAGTGAAACGAAATAGAGGCATATCTTAAATATCTGTCATTTTTGTTTTCTGCTTCTGAATTTGAGAGATTGATGCTGCAACAGGAACATGTTAATCTGTACTAGGCTTTTATAACTTAACACTAACCTTGATCTGACATCTTGGCTGTAGAGGATCAAGGAGCTGTCAAGTGTTCCTAGTTGCATTAGGATTAGGTTGTTCAATCCATATAGAATTAGGAATTCCATTATCTCTTGTACTTCAAATAGAATAGCTTCTGTACAAGAGTAATCCGATAAGTCTGAGTGTATTTCTGAACATGCAAACCTCTAGAATCCTTACATGATTAGAATACCACAATTTCGTGGTTAAGACAATGATTTGTCTTACAGAACATACAGCACAGGACAATGAAGTACCCTTTTGTTTATCCACTTAAACAACTCATCTTTCAGCTAACTGAAAAGATCCTAACCGTCCTGTGTAGTCCTAGATCTGGCTAAAATGTATAGAACACAAATAAGGAAAAAAGAAAACCATATGACACTACCATATACTTGTAAGCAAAAATTACAATCACCGTAATTCACCTACTACGTAGGTACATACGATGAAGAGTTACATTCTTCCAACGATTTCTACCACACCAGTGTTTTGTTACTTTGAAACTCTTTCTTTTTTCTTGTCTTGTTAGGGGGAAGGCCATGTTGTTGTCACATTGCTAGTTAATTTGGATTGGAGTTGCGCAAATGGTGGGGTAGCTACTGGAGATGAGTCTATTATTTTTTCTAGTTTTTGGGATGTGATATTTTGTGCTCTCTGTGAGAAGACCTTAGCCATTTGAGGACAAAAAATGTCCTTCACATGTGAAGACTCCCCAGCGGGACTTTACAAATAGCTTGCACAATTATTGCTACTCCACTACCCAACCACTTTCCAAATCTCTCCACAAAATGCATAAAAGCCCAAAGGGTAGCCAAGAAAAAACATAAAAACCAGAAAGCATCTGTTCCAAGACAGGCCATTCTTTTTTCTGTAATCTGTTTCTGCATTACAATGAGCAACTCAACGAAGCTGAGTGTGGCGCTCTCAAGCATCTTGGTGTTGATGTTTCTAGTTGATTTTGGCAGCTCAAACATAGACCAAGATAGGGCAGAATGTGCAGACCAACTAGTAGGGCTTGCCCCATGCCTTCCTTATGTAGGTGGTGATGCCAAAGCTCCCACACTAGACTGTTGTACTGGGATTAAAGAAGTGGAGCAGAAGAGCAAGAAATGCCTGTGTGTCCTAATTAAGGACCGCGACGATCCGAATCTTGGCCTCAAGATCAATGCCACTCTTGCATTACAACTTCCTACTTCTTGTCATGTCCCTGTTAACATATCTAGATGTGTTGGTAAGCCCCTAAACATAAATTAAGAAATTTCTGTATATTAAAGTTTTACATAGTTAGATGCATGATTAACTATTATGAACAATAGTTTGATCATTTTGGATGTTGGTGATGGATTCAGATCTCTTGAATTTGCCATCAAACTCTCCGGACGCCAAGATGTTCAGGGAATATGCAAACAAGACTGCAGCTAGCAGCACTGTCCCTATAGCCAGTGGTATAACAAATTTTCTTCTTCTAGCTGCATAATCTAAAGCTTCCAGTTTTGAACTTCAAGCATAATTTTTGTGAATGGTGATTTAGTTTTTAGAATTGAATAGTTCTTCATCATCTAGCTGTTGAATTTATTCTGCTTGGTTTCTGTTAATAGGGAATTCTACAAGCAATGGTACAGTTGCTCAAACAAAGAGTGATGGTGTGAGCCTGGAAAAGAGATTGCTGGGAGTAGAGATGCTTTTTGGGAGCTTAGCCTTAATGTGGTTTTATACTTAACACCATGTGTTTTAGGCTTGATTGATATAAGCAAGATGACTTGTCCCTATTTTACCTCTGAGTGTGTGTGTGTGTGTGTTATTTCTACAATTGTATTGGATTGGATGTATGAATCAATTGGAATCATTTTAAACGAGTGTGTCCAAGTTGATTTCAACCTTTTTTATGTCCTGTTGTAATGAAAAATGTATACAAATTTCTAGCAACTTACATCTTCTTTCTTCTTTCTTTAGTTTAGATCGTCCATCTAACCAAATTGGTTCGAAGTTGCTGTAAAGAATGTTATTGTACCTTAATGCTATCATAATTCTTTGACTCACCTAACCTTCCTGACTCCGTATTTGGATCGGTTCATCCAAATCAACACATGGACTCATCCAACAACAACAAAAATGCTACACGGACTCAAAGTTTTTAGGCCCACCTTTGCAGAGAAATGTCATGTGTAGCTCAAGCAAAAGTCAGCAACTTTCTGACTGACTAAACAAAAAAAAAAAAAAAAAAAAAAAAAAGACAAGATGTAGCAACTCCTCAAAACTAGGTCAAGTTGTATATACCAAATTCAAATTATGGTTTGATGAAATGTAGACAATGCTTTGGTGTACCTTTGTATTTTTTTTTTGTTTTTTTTTTTTTTTTTTTTTTTTTTTATTAGTCACTTGAGGATAAGGATAAATTAACTTTTTTTTTTGGTCATATGTGATACAAGTCATTTTATCCTCTTTTTGTGTTTTTTTTTGCTTTTATCCCAAAAAATTTCTAAAAAAATTATTGGTGTTGACACATTTTCTGTACCTACCCACCTGGATGGATTTCAATTAAAACCAATGACTTTCAATTAAAACCACACAGACCCCAAATAAATCCAACCGCCCAAGTCTCTAGAATCCAATGGTGTATAATTCTCTAAGCCCTTACGTCCTGTCTATATATACCCAAAACCTTCCCAGAAAATCCAGTCTGCAAAGATATACCAAATCCAAAGCACCTAACTTTGTACGTTCAAAGGTCAAACTCACACGCTCTCTCTCTAAACCCGACCCGGATATGGCATTGAAACCGAAAGCCCATCTGGGTCTGATCCCAATCCTCATCTTCTTCATCTCCATCAACCCCAGACCTTCTCTTTCTCTCTCTGAGAGCCCTGCAACAGTGTTCGAGATTTTACCCAAATATGGGCTCCCAAGTGGGCTGCTACCCGCGTCGGTTTCGAACTACACGTTGTCCGACGATGGCCGATTCGTCGTCGTTTTGGGGAAGCCGTGCTACGTGCAGTTCGAGTACTTGGTCTACTACGAGAAGACCATAACTGGCAAGCTCACCTATGGCGCGATCACAGAGTTGAAAGGCATTCAGGTCCAAAGGTTCTTGTTTTGGTTCGATGTGGACGAAATCAGAGTCGATTTGCCGCCTTCTGATAGCATTTACTTCACTGTGGGCATTATTAACAAGAAACTCGATGTGGATCAGTTCCAAAATGTCCATTCATGCCGCAACGGGTTATCGGGTTCTTGTCTCGGGTCGTTGAAACGGGGTATTCAGGTACTTATTTATCGGGTTCTTTTGTTCTGATTATGTTTGGATTTTGCGTTCTGTTTTTATTGAATTCATTTTGTGCGCCTTTCAATATGTCTGTGTGTGTGTTTATAGTGCTGGAGCTAAATAATATTTATCAAAGTATATTTTAATTCTTGAACTGCTCTTCTTTATTAAAAAGGATCAGTTTCTTTGTAAAGATTCCCCCTTTGTTTATGTGTATGTATGTGCATCCGTACAGCTCTTGATATTTATCAGAGGTTTATTTCAATTCCTGGATAATTGACAATGGAGTTTACTCATCGAATATTGTGATAGTAATTTGCTCAATAATGTTTTGTATGACGTTCATGCATTGAATTAGAATGGACTAGGAATTGTAACATCTGAAATTGTCTCTGTATGTAAGATTCATGCGTTGTTACTTATCTTTCCAGTATTTGAGAAATCTTGAGTTTTTGGAGTAAGTCTAAGCATGGCTGTTGTGTCTTTTAGGGATAAGATTGTTGTTTCCTTGACTTAGTATTGTTAATTTAGAAAGTTAAGAACAAAGAAGGCACACTAAAAAAGAAACTCTGACAATGAAACAAGTAGGTTTAACAGAACTCTTCAATCAGGCGAGAATTAATCCTTACATAGGGCATAGTTAATCTTTAAGTGATTTTGCTCTGTTGGAAAGCTTGGAAGAGATAAGAACCAGGTGTTGAGTGTGGTCTTTTATTGCCTTCAAAAGCAGGAAAAGGCCTTACAATCACATGATTACAAGTGACCAAGCTTTTGCTTGATCTGTGGAAAAAATGCAAAATATGATTATGGGGAGCTGATGTTAAAGGTGGTTTGTGTTTGATAAATTAGAAAGAATGTAAAGATGCATTAGTACCTTCTTACTCCAACATAAAATTTGATGGTTATTGAAGTTTCTTAATTATGGAGTGGTGTAGTTGCTTGTCTCCGAGATGTTAAGCATTTCACCTACTCTAGGTAGCACAATCACCAATACTGATACTGATCATCGTCATACTGGGCTCTCTTAAATACATGGGTCAGCCATATCATTCATGTTCCACTCTTTCTATTGTCTACAAGGCCTTGTTTTTCTTTCCCGGGTATTCCTTGTTCCCATATTACGTTGGGTCAATAATCTAAGTCTTTTACTTTAAGTTTTAGTTTCTCTCTCCTAGGTTATAGGTGCATCTAGTGGTCTATATTGTAAGCCTGCTGTCTCGTATTTTATTTATTTATAGGCGCCACTCCCATTGCTTACTGTCTTCGAAGTTCCTGCATCAATTGATAATCTTGCCTTCCTGATCTTTTCAGAGGTGATATCAAGAGATGCTGAACATTCTTGTTTTCTAGCTGTTCATCTTACTGAGATTACTTATTTGGATAGTTTCTTATTTGGATTTAGCTGCTAGATTGACTGAATATCTGCATTAAGTGAGATTTAGAGTTCAAATTTATTTTCCTATCATTTGTGTACTCCCTTCAAAATTGGAATATGTACTTGTGAACTTCTCACTACTGATATGTATTTAACTTCTTCTTGTCCTGTGGTGATTTGCAGCTTCCATCTCCAGTGGAAGATATTGAGATGCTAATTACTGAGTAGGCACCACCAAGTGGTTTTGTTGTACGTTGTAGTGGCAGAGCAAAGGCTCTCCGAGTTAGTTCACACGTTCAGGCTCACAACCCATTGAGTTTGGTTTTAGTAGAATCGAGTTTGTTATGTACTTACCGGACATGTTCGGTGGTTGTATTCCATAAGGGAATTTACCTGTGTTACTGTAACTGTGTAGTCTGTATCTGCTGTGTAAAGGAGTTAATCTTGTATATTACGTTTGATGTTAAAACTTGTATTGTACCCATTAACACCGATGAATGGTGAAAGGTGATTTCGTCCATTGTGTTGCTTATATCTTCTAAGTGTTGTGGAAGAGTCTACGGAAATTGGACGCAAAAGATCTCCTTGCTCTGACATCTATGTGAAAAGAATGCGTAAGTACGTCTTTATATTAGTTTCATTAACTAAAAGATTAATCTGGAAAGATTAAAAAAGATGAATTAAGAAGTTAGCTGAAGATTATTCAATAACTAGTACCAGAGGTGCATGAAATATGATGTTTTGAATCTGGAGGAGGAAGATGATACGGTAGCTCTCTTTGCTTGTAAGAAGTCGAGGTTACCTTCTGTGGGGAATGGAACTGTCTCCCTACTTCCGCTCTTATGTCAATTCTTATCTCCTTTATTCTGTTTTCGGATAAAGAAAGTGGGAACAAGAATTTGACATTAAAGTGAACGTTTTTGTTACAATTTCAGCGGGGTTAGAAGCACTTTTTGACAATCAAAAGTGCTTTCTAGATAAACATGTTGCTTCAGAAGCACTAAAGGACTGCAAACTCCCCAAATTCCTGTATTGAAACCCAAGTCCAACCGAAGTATAAAACCATGGAATTTGACTCCCATTGTCAACATCTTGGCTGCTCTTGTTATCTGCATCGACACCAATCATTTGCTTAGGAATTGGAAATATAACAGGACATTTACTTGTTGAAATAACAGAAGATTCAATTGGGAGGAGCAGGACAATCAAATAACAGAGCATTTAGTGCTCAGAGAGTCTGCATTGCATTCTATAACTCCTGTGATGAGCAGAACATTGAAGGGTGAGTAACTTCAAAAATATCATATGAAGTAGACTACTTTTTATCTGCAACATATGTCTGTGAATTTATACATATAATTTATATTTGGAAGACTGCTATATTCTGAAATGCTTGTGGATTTTATTACTTCTTTTAACTGAAAGAATAGTCTTAAAGAAAACGAAGACATAATTTAGTGCCTTACATTAGTAACAAAACAAAGAAGAGAAACATTAAAAGTATAAAGTACAAGATATAAGATTCTTAGTGACCGTTTGGCATTGCATATTTGGGGTGATAAGTGATTTTTTAAAAATTTTGGAAAGCCCAGTCCGTTTGGTAAACTATGAGAAAATTACTTATTGTTAAAAATTTATATGAGAGAAAACTATAAGAGAAAACAGCTAATGAGGTGCATTTATTTTCTGATTATGCGAGAATCAGTTTCAAAGAGGCGTTGGGCTTAATGATTATGAGGCAATAATTACCAACACATTTAACAAAAAGTTTACCAAACGCCAAACTACTTTCTATCACAGCTGATTTCTCTCACAGCAAATCTAACAGAGATTATTTTTCACAGCACATCAATGACAACCTGGCTTAAAAATATATTATAATTTTTTATTTGTTAAATTATACTTTTTTTAATTGTTTATAAATTTTTGTATTTAAAAAATAGCAGATTTTTTTTAAAATATTTTAAAAAAAACTGAAATTAGCAAAAATACACTTGAAAATAATTCACATGTTATTATTTTCAAATTGTACTACCATACACGTTTTCATTGTTTTTACTTTTCTGAAGATGTTTTCTAATTAATCTACTACAAGCATTTTCAATTCCTGAAAATCCAAATTCGTTTTCTTGTTTTTATTCTCTAAAAATATTCTAAGAAAACATTTTTCTAAAACGTTACCAAACGGCCCTTACATAAGGAAAAAAGAAACTTGAAAGATGCTAATCTCTGCAGCTCCTAAGCATTAAAGGACCAGAAACGCCCCAAAATCCTACACTGAACCCAAACACAACAAAAAAATGAAACCATGGAATTTTTTGCCCATTCTCCTCATCTTGAGTGTTCTTATTATTTCTATCGACACCATTACTTGGTCTGCACTCATTTGGACGCGGTGCACCGAAAAGTGTAAGCTTCCCCTCAAATACAGAGGCATTGAAGCGTTGGAGCTGAGTGCTTTTTGGTATTGGCCCTTCCAGATTTGATCAGTGAGCTCACAACCACTTAAATCCAAAGAGTTAGGTGATCAACCTGCACTAGCATGTTTCTTTGTTGATGTGCTGTTTAGTTATGTTGCGCACAGGTTCTTATAAAATATGGAGCAAATGAAAGAGTTAGAACAAGCAAAGCCCAGAAGAATAAGGAAGATAGAATTGTCCTTGTAAATTCATGGCCGGTTCACATAAATAAAGATGCTCCACTTCCACAAAAGCCATTGGAGATGCTGACATAAATCTTAATTAATAAAGCATGTTCTTCTCAAGCTACTTATTCATGTGTACATATTGCAAGCTTCTCTAATCCTCAGATACCACTAGACATGTTGACCATAGAAATCTTGGTTGGTTTTCCTCTTGTATATACATTATGATTTTGGCAACAAAAACTTCAAAGTCTTCATTAGTCATTCCTTCTTTTTTGAGTTGAGTTGAAACGGTACAGAGAAAACAAAGAAAGAGTCGAAGACTCTTAAGAAATATTTAATTAGGATTGCAGAGACTAGGGCTTCACTGTATAGAATCACCCTGGTATTCCTTCTTTTTTCTTCCGAGAATGTTAGCTGCTGATTGATGTGAGTCCCACAGTAAGCCCATCAACCAATGGCTGACATAGACAAGTATTGCACTGTATTGAATCTGCAGCCCCTGCATACCTTCTTGTTGCATTGGAGAATGCTGGAGATGGTCGACCTTAACAAGTAAAGCTATTTTCTCCTTAGTTTATAGTTTTTCTTTTAATCTATTCACATGAATTTAATCTAAGGAAATTTGTTGCTGAAACACACTTAGCTTTGTAAACCTACAAGAAGAGTATCTATTGTTTGTTCATGTAAAATTGCTTCTATTTGCCAATCAAGGATATTAAAGATATTCGCATTCATCTTAATAGGTTGGAGTTTCTGCAACATAGGTGGGTTGCTCAATCTGTTACTATCTCGGGAACAGAATTGTCGACGTGCAGAACCTTGGGGGAGATAAGAGCAAGGTATTGAGCATTGTCTTCTATTAATTCAAAAACCTATCGTTACCTTGCCATTTTGGTGTTAAGGGAAAGGCTTTACTATCATATGATTATGAGAGGCTTCTCGATGTATTATAAATAAGAATGTATATGGTTTGATACATTAGAAGGTTATATAATGATCCATTAACACCAGTCCCTCTAAAACCAAATTTAACAGTTACTGATGTTTTCTTAAATATGGAGTGGCATAGATAACTCAGGCTTATAGAGAAACAAAGAGTCAAAGAGTGTAGGAAATAATAAGGATTACAGACAGGGACTTATACCATATATCATTGCTATATTAACATAAAAGAAAAAGAAAAAAGCAACAGGAACAGGAAAGTAAAAGATCCAAAAGTAGAATTTAGCTTCTAGGTCTTCTCTGCATCCTGGTCATCCACACGGTGATGAGCCTGTCTTGCACTTTGCCTAGGGCTTGAAAACATGTATATCGCTACGTCTTCTTAACCATTAAAGGACCAAACACTCCCCAGAATCCTATAATGAACCCAAGCAACACAGAAATATAAAACCATGGAATTTGATGCCCATTCTGATCCTCATCTTGATGGTTCTTATTATCTCCGCCAACGCCATTAATTGATCTGCACTCATTTGGAAGTGGGGCACCACAAAGTTTAGGATTTCCCTCAAATACAGAGGCGTTAAAGCTCTGGAGCTGAGTGCTTCTTGGTATTGGTCCTTCCAGATTATTGTATGAGACATTAAAAGATTTCAAGAAATTGAGGCTTGCCAATGACACTGGGAGTTTTCCAGACAAATGATTCACAGAGACGTCCAATATCTCCAAGTTTTTTAAGTTGGATATTTGGTCCGGAATGCTGCCAGAGAAGTTGTTGACACCAAGATACAACACATGGAGAAGTTGCAATCGGCCTATCTCGGTAGGTATGCTGCCACTGATGCTATTGTTGTATAGGAATATGGACGGTGCAAGGTGAGACAAATAATTGTACTGCAAAGCATGTGCATAAGACAAAAAGTTGTAATTTGTATCTTTGGCTAGAATCAGGGGTATTGAGGCGAACATAGGCAATTCAAGATATCCCCGATCTAGTTGAGCTGCAGTTTGTTCCGATGCCAACATTGGAAGTCTGCAAAGTTCCTTTGGAAATTCACCTGAAATTTGGTTGAATGACAAGTCTAAATACAAGAGCCTTGGAAGAGTTCCCAACCAACTAGGAATTGACCCTGTGATTCTGTTATGAAACAGATTCAAGAACTCTAGCTTCTTTAGTTTAGATAACCATACCGGTATTTGTCCAGAGAACTCACAATGACTTAAATCCAAAAGTCGAAGCTTTTGGAATCCATCAAATTCAACTATGCCCTCGTCAGAGGGCATATCCTCACCTACAAAACTAGATGTCAATGACAGGAATACGAGACTTTCGCATCGCATCAGTATTTTCATTGCCCCTGTTACATTGGTCAGTGAGTTAAAACCAAGCGAGAGGAAGGACAGATATTTTAGTGAAAGGATCTCAGGTTGTATTTGTCCCTTGAGATGGTTAATGCTCAGTCGAATTGCTTTAAGTGACTTGCATGAGTAAAGGCTTGTTGGCAACATACCAGTGAAGTTGTTATTCATTAGATCAAGTTTACTAAGTTGACTAAACCTGGAGAAATTAATAGCAGAGATATCTCCTTCAAAGTTGTTGAATCGCAGACTCAACTCTATAAGTTTTGTACAATTCATCAATGATGACGGCAGCAAACCTTCTAGTTTGTTGGCATAAAGGAGCATCAGTTTCAAATTGGAGAGCTTCCCAATATTAGCAGGAAGCATGCCACTAAAACTGTTAGAGTTGAGATCAAGGATAGTGAGAATGGTGAGGTTCACAATTCTATTACTAATGGCTCCATAAAGTGAATTAGCAGGTAATGCAATTTGTTCAAGTGTGGTAGCATTATATATATCTTCTGGAAGTAATCCTGAGAGGTTGTTGTAACCAGCATGAAAAACCTGCAGTTGGAGACACTGCCCTAGTCCAGGTGATATATTGCCACTGAATTTATTGAGTGAAAAATCCAATAGCTTAATCAAGGGAGAAGAATGAAGACAAATGGTGGATGGGATAGAACCTGAGAAGGTGTTGTTGCTGACGCTGAAACTAGTCAAATTCCTAGCTTCTTGGAAAAACGAAGATGGAATTACACCATAGAAGTGATTGCTGGACAAATCAACCATCCGGATCATATTTCTGGATGGTAGAGAATCTGGTAGCTCTCCGGATAGAAGGTTATAGCTCAAATCAAGGATCTCAAGATTATTCAAGGACAAGAAGAATGCGGATTGATCTAGTGAACCGTAAAGTGAGTTGTGGGATAGATTCAGGTACCTGAGATGTGTGAGATTTCCAAGTGACAAGGAAAAGTTACCTCCTTTGAGTCCTTTGGAGGGTAAGTCCACATCGGTGACCCAACCATTGTGACTACAACTAATGCCCTCCCAATGGCAACAATCAAGGGAAGTCCAATTTAAAGGAGGAGAAGACAGACTGAGGATGAAGGACAGGAGAGAGCTGCTTTCGGTTTGGTTGCATGCATGAATAATATTGGTAGATATAATGGAAGAGAATAGGAAGATGAATAGGAAGCCATGAGGCATTAGGTGATCAACCTGCACTAGCATGTTTCTTTGTTGATGTGCTGTTTAATTATGTTGCTCACATGTTCTTATAAATATGGAGCAAATCAAAGAGTTAGAACTTAGAAGTATAGCCAAGAATAAGAATAAGAATAAGAATAAGGAAGAGACAATATATCATTGTCCTGGAAAATTCATGGCTGGTTTACATAAATAAAGATAAGATATTCTACTTCCACAAGCTACTAGAGACTTTGACATAAAATCTTAAATAATAAAGCATGTTCTTCGCAAGCTACTTATTTATACAATGATCCATTAACACATAGATAACTCAGGCTTATAGAGAAACAAAGAGTCGAAGAAGGTAGGAAATAATGAAGATTTACAGACAAGGACTTATATTATATATAATATTCCTAATCAGCCTTGACTTTCGATATTTAGTTGAAGAATGCTAGCCGTTGATGTAGCTCCACGGTGAATCCCACATCAATTAATGGGTGATACAGTTATACAGACAAGGACTGCAATGTATTGAAATTGAATCAGCCCCTGCATACCATCTTATAGTTTCCTAACAATTACTGTAAAGAAAGTGCTTTGTCACCTCAGATATGAAGATTGTTTTTTATCACCATCACCAAGCAATGGCAGTGTACTCAACTTCTCATAGTATAACATAAATATATGTGTGTGTGTGTGTGTGTGTGTACATAATTTCTTGGCAGTTCATATCAGTATTTTGTACATCTTCCAATTGGAGCTTCCCTTGCTTTGAAAGATGACTCTCTGTGTATACCACAGTCTATTGATGTTGAGCTCACTCCCATTTCAATCTAAATCCGGGACGTGTGAAGTACTTTCCTTAATGAAATTATGAGCAACTTCTGAGTAACTTGATTCCTTCCAAAAATAAAAGTTAAGCAAAAAAATAACGAAATCATTTCCCATTTTTATCTCAATCTGTATCTGTACTTTAGTTAGTTTCATTCAACTTAAAAGAATAGTCTCGAATGAAAAAGAAGATGCCATTACAAGATCAACCAGTGCCTTACTCCATATCTCTATGTCTCCTTAAGCATTAAAGTACCAAACACTCCCCCAAAATCCTACAATGAACCCAGACACAACGAAAATATGAAACCATGGAATATTATGCCCATTATGCTCATCTTGATTGTTCTTATTATCTGTGCCAACATCATTAATTGGTCTGCATTCATTTGGAAGTGGGGCACCGCAAAGTTTCGGATTCCCCTCAAATGCAGAGGCATTGAAGCTTTGGAGCTGAGTGCTTCTTGGTATTGGCCCTTCCAGATTATTGTATGAGCAGTTAAAATCTTTCGAGAAATTGAGGCTCGTCAATGACGCTGGGATGTTTCCATACAAATGATTCATGGAGACATCTAACGTCTCCAACTTTTTGAGGTTAGATATTTGGTCTGGAATGCTGCTGGAGAAGTTGTTGACACCAAGATCCAACACATGGAGAAGCTTCAATTGGCCAATCTCTTTCGGTATGTTTCCGTTGATGCTATTATTGTGTAGGTATATGGATGGTGGAAAGTAAGAGACATAGTTGTACTGTAACGATTGTGTATAAGACAAAGAATTATACTCTAAGCTTTCTGCACGAAGCTGGGATTGCACTAATATAGGGAATTCAAGATACTCATGATCTACTTGACCTGCAGGTTGTCCGGACACCAACATGGGAAGGCTGCAAAGTTCCTTTGGAAATTCACCTGAAATTAGGTTGACTGACAAGTTTATATAAAAGAGGCTTGGAAGAGTGGCCAACCAACTAGGAACTGACCCTGTGATCCTATTATGAATCAGATTCAAGATCTGTAGCTTCTTGAGCTTAGATAACCATACAGGTATTGGACCAGTGAGCTCACAATAACTCAAATCCAAAACTCGAAGATGTTGGAAACCGAAAAATTCAACCATGCCATCATCAGATGGCATTTCCTCACGCAGAAAACTGTATGCAAATGACAGGAATACGAGACTTTTGCAATGCATCAATATCTTCATTGCCCCTGTGACATTGGTTAGTCTGTTATGAGCCATTGAGAGAAAGGACAGGGATTTCAGTGAAATAATTTCAGGTTGTATTTGTCCCTCTAGACGGTTATAGCTCAGTCAAATTGCTTTGAGGAACTTGCATGAGTAAAGACTTATTGGCAAGATACCAGTGAAGTTATTACTCATTATATCAAGTTTCGTAAGCTGACTAAATCTGGAGAAATTAAGTGCAGAGATATCTCCTTTAAAGTTGTTGAATCTCAGATTCAACTCTATAAGATTAGTACAATTCATCAACGACAGGGGCAGCAAACCTTGTACATAGTTTGTTAGTATGGAGGAGCATGAATTTCAGGTTGGAGAGCTTGCCAATATCAATAGGGAGCATGTTGCTCAAACCGTTAGAGCTGAGATCGAGGACTGTGAGATTGGTGAGGTTTATGACTCTATCACTTATGAATTAACAGGCAATGCAATTTGTTCCAGTGTGGTAGCATCATACATATCTTCTGGAAGTAATCCCAAGAGGTTATTGTAACCAGCACAAAAAACCTGCAATTTGAGACAGTTCCCTAGTCCAGGAGATATATTGAAACCAAATTTATTGAAAGAAAAATCCAATAGCCTAATGAAGGGAGATGAATGAAGACAAATAGAGGATGGGATAGAACCTGAGTTTTCAGATGGACGGACCCTTGGCTCACCACTAGCAACATCGATATTGTCCCCAACTTAACCATCTATTTAGCAGGTGCGGGGTTTTATACAAAAGGCTTCGATGTTATTAGGAGTGAAACCATTTATTATATGGAACTTTCTATTTTGTTAAGTTTTCGATGTGGGACTTGTGTATTCTTCAACACTCCTCATGTGAGACCACTTTTTAGTGGGCCACACGTGCAACCAATTCCACATTTGTCACTTTTTTTTTAAATTTTTTAATTTGGGGTTTGTTTGATTTTGATTCAATATGGGGGTTTTTGTTTGATTTAGGTTTAATCGGGCCCAGTCAACCGACCCGCTCTACCATCCTAATCATATTTCTGGATGGTAGGGAAATTGGTAGCTCTCCGGAAATAAGGATATAATTCAAATCAAGGATCTGAACACAATTGAAGGACAAGAAAAATTGAGATTGATGTAGTGAACCGTAAAGTGAGTTGTGGGAGAGATTCAGATAGCTGAGATGCGTCAGATTTCCTAGTGATGAGGAAAAATTATCTCCTTGGATCCCTTTTGAGGGTAAGTGCAAACCGGTGACCCAACCATTTTGATTGCAAGTGATGCCCTCCAAATGCGTCAGATTTCCTGCCGAAGCTCACAAATTGCCAAACCTGATTTTCATGACACATGTCGCCACCACAGCGACTTGCACAAAGTCCCACATCGAAATTCTACACAAACCTCCCACTTTCACTTCCCTATAAATAGGGAACAGTACCCTAATAAAAAGGGTAACTACTTTCTTACTTTTTACTGTTATTCTGCCAGAGTTACTACTCTTAACTGACTTAAGCATAGGAGAGTTTTCGGCCGGCACCACACCGGTGTCCGAAGGTCCACACATTCTCCACTGCTAAAGGCAAACCCCTTTTCTCTAAGTTGACCCTCTTCGAAAAAAGCATCAACAGCATATATGATGGAAGGGAATAAGAGGATGAGAAGGACGCCCTGAAGCATTAGATGATCAAGCTGCACTAGCATGTTTCTTCGTGGATGTGTCATGTTTATGTTAGAGTTAGATTGCTCACAAGTTTTTATAAACAATGAAGCACACTAAAAAGTCAGAACATAGGAGCAAAGCCAAGATGACCAAGAGTGGATGGGAAAAAGAAAAAGAAAAAGAAGAAGATGACCAAGAGAGATATATTATTTGATTTTCACGGAAAATTCATGGCTCCTTCATATGAATAAAGGGCTATATTTCCACAAGCCACTTTAGGCGTTGACATAAAACTGCAAAGCAACACATTTCAAGATTCTCTAGTCACACATGCGACTAGACATGTTGGCCATACAAGTTCTTGGATGGTTTTACTGTAGTACTTTAAATTATGATTTTGCCTGCGAAAACTTCAAAGTCTTCTTTAGTTCTTTAATGTTTGAGTCTTTGACTCCAAATGGTAGAGCAAATAAACAAAGACTCGAAGACTCAAAGAAATAATTAATTAGGGTTGCAGACAAGGACTTCACTGTATAGATCAATCAGCCTTGTATATATATTTATATGCCTTCGATTTTCTTCGGAGAATGCTAGCCATTGATTGATGTGTGTCTCACAGCGAGTCCATCCGTCAATGGCTAACATAAACAAGTACTGCACTGTATTGAATCAGCCCCTGCATATTTCTTTTAATTTCTTCAAGTAAATTTATTCTTGGCAAAACGAAAATTTCAGCAACCGTATTGCTGAAATACACTTTGCTTTGCAAACATAAGAGCAGTTTTTAATATGTCTTCATGTAAAATTGCATTTTCAAGATCTCATGTTCAGAGACTGTACATTCATCATGAAAATTTGTAGAGAGCTAAGAAGAAACAACAACTACATTGTGTGGTTTATTATAGCGGTCAGTCAAGTCTTTGCAGTTCTTTCTTCTTCTTTTTTCTTCTTTTTTTCTTTTTTCTGAAACTGCTGCTCTGTATTGGCCAAAAGGAAACTGCTCTTTGTTCTTCCCGTTTGGTATTCCGTATGTATAAATTTATGTTTAAATTTATATTGCAACATAATCTGCGACAGAAAATTCATGATCGAAATATAAACATCTTACGTTGCCAAACTATAAAAAATACATTAAATACATTAGCTCTATTCTTATATGTTCTACCTTTCAAATGTTTGCCCGGATCCTCCTGTAGGCCCTCCTATTTTTTGGAGTCTTTCTATGTGTTGTATAAATGTTGGTTGGAATTTGGAGCCGTTGGATCCACAAGAACCATTGTTGTTGGGGTGAACTTACTAACGAAGGAAGGAGCTTGGAATTTTCCCTCCAACAAAGAAATACCTACCAAGTACCATAAGGTCCAATAATAGAACAAATTTATCTTCCCATTTTACCCTTCACGATTCTTCTAAATTGCGTCTCTCCCCGTCCTCTGTTCTTCGCAAAGTCAAGCTCTCACCTCTGTTTCTCTTCCATAGAGGTCTACATCAATGGCATCTTCCATCGCTCAGATCTCTTTCTACCTTCTAATTCTAATCTTTTTCTCAGAAATCCATTTCGGTCTATCCCTCAGGGACCTCAAATCCGATCCTAACCGTCCATCCACCACAGCCCAATTAATTACAGACGTTCATGACCTCCTCCCCAAGTACGGCCTCCCAAAGGGTCTGTTACCAGACAACGTAAATTCCTACACTCTCTCTGAAGATGGCAGCTTTGAGATCTATCTTGAAAGCCCATGTTACGTGCACTTTGATCAGTTGGTGTACTACAACAAGAACATTAAAGGGAAACTGAGTTACGGGTCAGTGTCTGATGTGTCTGGGATTCAAGCGAAGAAGCTTTTCATTTGGGTCTCTGTGACTGGGATTCAGGTTGATCAAGGATCCGACTCCGTTGAGTTTTATGTTGGAGCTTTGTCTGAGAAACTGCCTGCTAAACAGTTTGAGGATATTCCTGTATGTAAAAGCAAGGCCTGCCAAGGAACTTATGTGGACTCAATCTGAGGTAATTTTCTTTCCTTAAAAGAAACAAAAAGAAAAACATTGCCTATATTGTTTTTGTATGAATCAAATAGGAAAGGTTGAATTTTTTGTTTCTGGTTTCTCTTCATCACTCAGTAAACCTTTTATTTATCTTCGAGTTGTGACCTCTCTTTTTTGTGTGGTTGTTTGATCCTGGTAAGATGAATTGTAGAGGAGAAGTTTGAGATGCTGTTGATATTTACATGTTGTTGATTTAATTAAGGACTTTGAAGATTTTTGGTTTTCTGGGTACCAATATTGCAGTAGACTTCCAAGAGGGAGTCAGTCGGTCTTCATTCCTTTTAGGCCATTGATGACAATAATCGCATCAAACTAAAGGAAAATGAAGATAATGGTTATGGTTGTTGATTATACGTTAGGCTAATTAGACCAACAAAAGGATCATATGCCCTTCTTGATGTCAGTTTGATATGAGATATCTTATGTCTTTAGTTTCCATTTCCTTTAGGTTATGATAATAATAGTCAAGCTCCAGAAAGATCAAGGCTTTATGTAAGGTTTATAAGGTGATGATATCTGCCAAAAGTTCGTAGGTGAGGTGAGTTACTCCTAAGCTGAATTTCCAAAGTTTGGAATCTCACATTCCTTGCGTCCATAAGGTTCCAAGAGCAGGCTTGTGTGTGTGCACAATTTTTGGCGGAGGCCGTATGAATGCACTGGGGCTCTGAATCCCAACTCTTGCTCCAATCCTCTTTCTCTGTCTCATTACTATCTATGCTCCAATTCTTAGGGCCATTTCTCCTATATGTAGTGCTCAAATTTTGACAGCAGGTCAAGTCTAAAGAATGAAGATATCGACCCTATGTTGGGCCTTTGCCTGGTACAGGAACTTCAAATCACAGATGAAAAGTTCTTTTTGAGGTGGTTCACTTCTGAGGTGTTGTTTTGCTCCTTGTACGAATGTTGCCCTAAATCTGTTTATCACTACAGAGGGTATTGCAATGTCATTTCTCAGTTTTAGTGAAGATATGGTGGAGCTATAGTGCTGAAAATCTTGTAACCCTTTCAAGTTAGCCTCAGTCAACATCACAAGCAAATTTAAGCAGATAGTATTCAAAATGTTTTTTTTTTTCACCATTGATTGATGCTGAGTTATAACTTATAATTTGTAGCAGCATGCGCAATTCGCATATTCCTTAAGAAGAAACATATCCACATGTAGATAAAAAGGCCTTCAAGGTTTTGAATGAAAACCAAAACAAAATTTGCATTGTGAAACTCAGAACCTTTCCTCCATGAACGTTGTGCAGCTTCCTAGCTAAATGTTTTCTGTTTGAAAGAAAACTTTATACAAAGACAACTGAAAGAGAGAGGATATGTTCCTATTCAGAAGTTAAATGATTTCGGTTCTTAATCCCCTTCATTTGTGTTGAGGCCTAATTAGATTGAATTGAAACTAGTCTATTGAAGGCCCTACTGCACACTGGACTTGCTTCATTAAAGTTGTTCCATTGACCTGATCCACGTGTTACTTGCTAAGTCGAATTTTAGGCTAATCTTTGGAGGACTAATGGCTGCATGTACTCTTGCAGGAGCAAAACGCACAAGGAACTCACTGCATGGAAGAAGAATACAGTCGGCAGATCTTTCGTTCTCTTCTTGCAGTCATTTTATGGTTCTTATTGTTGCTTTTTCAAGTTGCGTCCGTACAAGTAGCCAATATAAGCAAATAAATGTGCATATGGATTCTTGTCAGTAGTAAAAACACAGAGAGAGAGAGAGAGAGAGAGATTGGTATTATCTGAGAAATTGGTGTTATCTCTGTGTCACAACTACAGGCACTCATGTAAACCTTGTGAGTAATGAGTAAATATATAATGTAAATTTCATGCTTGTCAATAAATTATTTGGTGGATCTTTTATTCTCTTCTTTCTTATTTTCTTCTTTACTTTGTAAGGTAAAAAATACAGCACGAACAGCCATTTCTGTAATTGAAACATGATGCATTCGATAGAGATTGATATATCCTAGCTCGTCATTGTTTAGCTTCTTAAGGAACCCACGGATGCTTATTCTTAAATTTGCCTATTCATGTTTTAATGCGAGCAGATTCATAGAACCGGTGTGACGGTCCTACCGAAGAATTTCTCCTAATTTTTGCATGTTTTGAGTACACCAGCCAGCTAATGTTCCATCCAATATATATAGGACGTGTGGGTTGGACTCTCCAATGGGCATAGACCCCGTTGCAATGAGAAACATAAGACCTTTTGAAAATTTAAAATTTTATATATATCAAACCTAAGACCTAATTAATTATATTTAATCATGTCTTAAAACTATCAAATGTGAACTCTACAAATAACACCAATTTTATAGTCTTGGATGGTTGAAGCCTGTAGTTAATAATGGGTATAATATTGAAACTGAAAATATAATTTACCATAACGCGTAGGCTCTCGCATAGTGTGTACACTAATTAAGAATTAGAAAGCACTATGATTAGGTCGTCCATTTAGGCCAAATTAGTTAATGATTAAGGTCTCCATCATCCATCTTATCCACGAGGGAATCCAAATATACAAGACCAAAAGAAAATGCCTTGAAAAATAAACTTTCTTCCACCAACTTGGCACTAGAATATAGTAATTAATTATAGTAGCCCTTCTTTGGCCTCACAAGCATAAAATTGCTTTTCACCATTCGAGAAGCATAACTTGTTACTCTTTGGTTACTTCTTTGTTCTTTCTTTCCTTTGCTTCAAACGCACATTATACTCGTGCTTCTAAGTTAGAGATATTGTAGCTATAAATACATCATTGTGCTCATTGCAAACCACCACAAAGCAACTTTGAGTTGAGGCACATTTCTCTCCAACCCCTCACTAAATCCAGCATCAAGAAGTTAACCCTTTTGGTTGTTGAGCTTTCTGTTCTGATATATCTGCTGCAAATGGATATTCCTCGAGAGGTTGCTGCCAGTGAGAGCCATTGGATACAAAAGGAAAAGGAAAGTACAAAGAAACAAAAGGTGAACAGGAGGATGAATGCCGCCGATGAGCAAGGCGACATTAATGAAATGGCTGATGCCTTCATCAAGAAGTTCAGAAACCAGCTTAAGATTCAAAGGGAAGAGTCATTCAAACGATTTCAGGAAATGATTGCTCGTGGGGTTTGAAATATGTTTCTTCCATTGTATGAACAAAAATAACTCAAAATCTGGTGTTGTTGCTCACCAGTTTGTTCGTGCGAATTCGAAATTTTTTATGTAGAGTTGTTTTGTTGCTGGTTTAGGTCAATAAGATGGTGCTATGGATATGGATTTGTTTGTTCTTTGCTGGTCTACTCAGGGTTTTCCTCGTATAACAAGTTTGATATTGGTGTTCCAGCAAAATAAATAAAGACACTGACTGTAACATTGATAAAGTTGACGCCTGATCTTACACAAGTTTTCCATTTATCCACCACTTTATGGTTCTATTTTTAATTATATAAGCATGTCAAAATAATATCTAAAAGGTTTGATTACATATTAATGAATAATAAAATAGTACAGCCACAGATGAAATTACGTATATATTGAATGATCTCTAATCATCCATGTATATTCACAAAGCATCTCTAAGATTACATACTAGTAACATAAAACCCCATAGCAAAAGACAAAAAGGCCTAGACCAATATAACAAGATTTACAAATGTATCTGCTCTCTCTTCATGAATGTAAAGAAATGACCTCTTAATTCTATTGTCGAGACCAACAGCCTCGGTAACTCTATTGCCGAAACCAGCATCACCAGTCCCGTACCACATCGCTTGCAAGAGATGACTGCCTTGAATTTACAGATACACCTGCAATGCTTCCTATCTGAAGTCTTGCTTCGCACAAAGCATAAGCAATGTCAATGCCAGTTCTCATGCTTGGAGCACTTGACAGTGTACAATGTGACTCTTCAAACCAGTTCGGGCCGCTATAGTTGACCATAAATTTGAGACGAGAGTTCTGAAATGACCTTTACCAGCAATATTTTCCCAAAGGTGAGGGTTGCCTTCTACAGGTTTATCCGGACTTGAAATATCGACTAAACTGATGCTCATGTTATTACGAATAATGCAAAGCTTCCCGTTAAGGGGAACAAGTGCAGCAGCCTTAAAAGCAAAAGACCTGCCTAGATGAAGCTTGCTATCTATAAATTTGCTCCACGAATCTGTTACTGTATCATAAACTTTAAGCTTGCACCCATCAGGGCAACCCAGACCATAGAGCTGCCCATTTAAAGAAATACTCGGGTTGCGCCAGTCAGCAACCATCCCGTCACTAATGGGGGTCCAGGTATTAGCTTCGGGAGAATAGGCTTCGCTCATTACCTCACGCTGTGTCCCAAGTCCTTTTAGGAACCACATTCCTTCATGAACAACCCCGATAAAGGGAACCATAGCTGTGCTCATATCTGAAATAAAGCTCCACCGATTCTTGTTAGGATCATAAATTTCAGCAGAACGAAGAGTCCTTTGAATTCCGTCACACTCCCCACCAGCTACATAAAGGCAATTATTAATAACACAGGACCCAAAGAAATGGCGTTTCCGAAGCATATCTGGTGCCCTGTGCCATTTATTTGTCCGAGCACTGTAAAAAATAACCCGTCTCATAGATCCCTTCAATGGATCTTTTCCTCCAAATAAGTACAGGTGACAACCGCTAAGGACAGCACAACCAAAACCAAGCGCTGCAGAATATTCACCAGGAACAGGTGGAAGCGGCTGCCAGAGCTGGTATGTAGGATCAAAAGCATGCCAAGAGATCCTTCCATCACGTTCTCTTTTGATGACATAAACCCACTCTTCTGCCATTCCAAGACTTTTCCTAAGCGAATAAAAGAAGTTGCCAGCCAGAAGGCGGTACCATCTTTTGCAAACTAGACGGAGTTTTCTATGTTCAACGCGAGGGACTCTGATTAAACAAGCGATTGCAAGATCATCAGGTAGGCCAGGCAGGAGGGGTGGCTGGATTCTGGTCTTTTCCCTGCGCAAATTTTTTGCCCTGTGTGCATTAGGATTAATATCAGGCTGGATGCAAAGTTTTGATCCTGGGACAAACTTTCTTGCCCCCGCAACGGTTTTTAAGCTTGCATCTACTTTGCAATAGCATGATACAGAGTCAACCTGCAAAACTAGCCATGTCAGGATGTCTGATACAAGAATTACCAAAAATTAAGAATAAGCAAGTAAGAAACACCAATTAGAAGCTAATGGCCATGATACATGCTCCTTAGTTGTGTTCATGGCCGTAGTATAGGGAATGATTAGAATACCTCCAATGGGAATGCTTAGTTAAATATCATGACTTGCACCAACAGAAATGAAAAAACTAATTAGGCATGGTAACCAAAAGTTTAAAACACAAGAAAATGCAAGTAGTAATTGGATCCACGGGGAGGGGTTAAGGGCACACAAATATTTATCCACATAATTTCACATGTATAAAGAATGATATGGTTGATCACAGATAAAGATAACTGAATAAAGGGAGCTTTTGTTCATCATCCATGGGAATCATGTTTGACGATGCCCTAAATATGCATTGATGAAATAAACAGTGAAAGATAAGATTTAATCCAAGGACAAATTAGTAAATGAAATTGACAAATAACATGTCTAATTGAACTTTTCATGGGCCAAGAAAGTTAGGCTTTGTCAGAATTTTTTTTGTTCCCTTTACTAGTACAAGAGATCCCACATTCACCTAGATCTAAACTTAAAATTGATACCAGACAACAAGATAGAGCATGAACAACTCTCAAGGCATTGACAAAATAAATGCAGAAAAAACAAAATCCAAAGCAGTAATTTGATCCAAAGTACATAAATGTTACGAGAACATAATTGAAACTCATGTTGAAGGCAGATAACCATCCAATCATCCACAGAGTCACCTTACATTCAACACTCTGTTCACCAAAGTAAAAGGAACACTAATTTCTTAGCAACAAAAGGTCATGACAAGGAAACAAACATAACCCTCCATGAAAATCAGAATGGGGCACCTCAAACATAAAAATGAAAGGGTTTAGTGTATTAGAGAACTCAAGAAGCAAGCTTATGAAGCAAAAAGATACAGCAAGGGGAGTGAGAACGGTCCTAACAAATGCTCATCAAATTCCTTCTTCGCCAAAATGTTCTATCTCTTAATAATTAACTAGAAGTTGGTCGTCCGGTTACCATAAGCTCCATGGAATAAATTGGAAAAGAAAGAAGCCAAAATTTAGCATTTCCTTAACCCATATGCTCATCCAAAATTTCAAAAGTATCACAAATATTTGACTGAAATACGAGCCGGGTGGCGGGTACCCCTGAGCTTATGAAAACAAAAAACCAAAAGGACAATGCAAGGCACTAAGTGCCAGATAAACCTCAAACACACATCCTCACAACCGAATTTCCAGTCTTTTCTCAACAATATTGCACAGTAGCTAAATTTTCATAAGAATCAAAATTTAACAATTCCCCGACCCATATATGATCATCGTAAAAATTCCCAAACTTTCCCCAAATAATAACGCATCTAGCAGAAATACGTGCTGCGCACCCCCAAAAAGCTTATGAAAACAACAAACAAAAAGGAAAATGCAAAGCACGTAGAGGCAGCTACACCTCAAACACGCTTATCCACCAAATTTCCCAAATTTCTCGACAATTTATCACAATTAAGCAACTTTTCATCTGGGTATCTCTAAAATGTCGTGAATTGAAAGAAAGCATAAGAAAAAAGATTTGGAAAAACATAAAAGGGAAAGATGGGTCAGAGATCAGTAAGAAGACTAACCAGTGGAGCTTGAACTCTGAAGCCCCTCTGAGCATTGGAAGACCGTTCAGTGTTTGAGTCCATTTGAGAATCACAAGCTCATAGAAAAAGGGTACCTTTTGAGTCCAATTCAAAAGGTTAAAGGAAGCTTGGAGGCTCAGATCGAGAGACACTTTAAGCTTCAACTTCAATTTCTTGAATCTGATCCAGCAAATAGTATAAATGAACTAAAAAGCTTTGTCTTCTCTTCCGGAGGGTTTGTTTTCCTTTTAACCTCTGCAAATGCAAACAAATAAGCACAAAAAATAGAACTCTACCTCTACTAACTGAGAACAACAACTACAATAACAAAACCTGAGGGTACATCTTCTCTCTCACTCTCTCTCTCTCTCTCTAAAAGACTTATTTACAGTCTTTTCTCTCTCTCTCTCTAAAACCCAAAAGAGTACAGCTGGACCCATGGGCTTCACCAACTTCTGATTTTGTACTCTAATTTCTAATTATTAAGTTCTGTGTGTATAGAGTATAGACTGAAAAATTAAAAATTAAATGTAGAAGTGGATTTGATTCTCTTCCTCCAACCTATAACGTAGTTTAATGCACACTTTTAAATGTGTATTTGTGGGATTTTAATTTCAACTCATACTAGAGGACAGGAACCTCTAACATGGTTGATACAACTCACAGTCAAAACCCAATTTAGAGGAAAGGAAAGGACTGAGGTAGAGAGAGACAAGACAGAGGGGCATTTGAACCTTCGCTTTTGGGTATACCAAGATATTAATGGCTCACCTCCATCACCCTTAATGAGCTTACCTATCCCATGGTGACTGTTTCATACATATGAGTGACATATCCTTTTCGGTTTCTTACTCTCCAACTCTCTTCTTATCCTCTTTATGGTGCATTATGAACGTGTGTGCATGAGCGACTAAATTTAACATTAATCATACTTTGTATTTAGTTATATATTAGTATTCATAATTGCAAATTAGAGGGTAAATCAAACATTCTTCATCCATGTTTCTTGTGTTCATCTTAATATCCTTTTTTTAATGTATAAAACTCAAATCAAAATCAACAGATTTTGAGTAGAGTTGATTCCACCCTTAAGGGGTCACTTACCGCATATTAATTTTCCCTCTTCTTTCTAACAAAAAAAGAAGAAAGAATATCCCACAATTGGAGTTATATAACCATACTTCATATACGCCGACAAAATTAACAAAAATAAAAGAAAATTATAAAAATAATGAAGATTCGAAAGAGGAGTTTTTTTTAAAAAAAAATTAAGGAAATTGAAAGAGGGGAGTTTCAACATGTTGATGTGATGATTAAGATAAATATTTACTTGCTCTTTTGGCTCATGTGCGGATGTCAAAAGAGATGAGCGAAAGAAGCTTCATTCATATATGTCAAAGAGAATAATAAAGACCCTCTTTTTTCTACGTAACCACTTGTTGAAGGTCTACTCTACTCCCCTTCTCTTTAAAAAATTATTTAAAACATACAAGTCTTTTTCTTCTCTTCCCAATCCTTGCAGTTTAATTTTTTTTAATAACAAACACTTTGATCTTAGGTTTTCAGCCCTAAGTTTCGTAGCCCCTAGGCGAATGGCAATTTAGCCTTACATTCATGTGATTTGGTTTTTTTTAGTGCACTAAAAAATATTATAAGAACTCAAATTCAAGATTGTAACATATAAAGGAAAAAAAACAGCAAACAATATATAATATGCACAGCAAGAAAACACGAAAAAGAGAAATAAAATTTGCTCAAATTCTAGTACAAGGATACTACCTTTTATTTTTTGGGCAGAACCTTGACAGTACAAGGATAAAATTGATTAGGGTTCGTCGAATCGTTGAGAAAGAATTGGTAAAGCCACCAAGTTTTTTCCGTCAAGTTAGAGTTCAGACACTTTTTTTTTGGGGTTTAGAGTTCAATGTCTAAGTTATTGGCGACTATGAGTTTAATATATAATGTGTCTTTTTTGTGTTGGGCACTTAATGTCTTAATTGGGTTCACATAATATATATATATATTTTATATTTTATAGAGTAGCATAGTATGTATATATAGAAGTTTATATAAATTGGAGGCCCTAACATTAAAAATGTCTTTTGGTCCGAAAGAAAAATTAAATCCATGGTTTTGGGTGAAATAGGTTTCGTACAACAAAATAAAAACGGCACAGCATCAATGGCTCCATTTAAGCGTATTTTATTATTCTTCCACCATGCATATTTTAGGCAAGTGGAAATTGGCAAAACATCTTTGTCTTGAGAGATGCATTGGGCTTTTCTTCAAATTTGGTTCTCTCTTGGTTTGTGGACTATGGGTTTTTTTATGGTAGCTTAGGCTTATAGGTATGGAGTCATTTTAGAGTGAGGGCGTTAAATATGGCATTTAGAGCCATTCCAACCATGCCACAGAGCCTCGGGCTGGGGAAAAAAAAATGAAATTTTCGTTTCCAAAAATGAGCCCAAGCCCGGGCAACACGTGGGTCCTACCAAGTCGGGCTGGCCCGAAGGCCAGTTCAGCCCGAGGTCCAAAACGAGGGCTGGTGATGATGTCATCGCTGACGTCAGGTTGGCATCAACCCACTCATGTGATTTTTTTTTCTGTTGCCACGTGGCGTCGTCTGGGTTTTCCGATCCGATTTTTTCCTCCAATCAAACGGCAACCAATTTTTTTGCAATAAAATACTGAAAAAAATTCAGAAATTTTTTTAAAAAATACCCAAAAATTAATGAATTGTTTTCTATAAATACCAGCCTTTTTAAAAAAAAATTTATCTGAAATTTGAAATTGAAAATTTTATCCGATTATGAGATATGAATAGTATTGACACGTAAGAACCCGAAAATCTTATCTGAAAATATTATCCAAATTAATTATTGAGGTAAAAAAATTTTGTGAAAAAAACAAAAAAATGAATAGTAATTGCCCTTAGCCATGGCAACGGGTGGAAACACAAAATATTATTTGCAATGGCAATCACTATTCACATAAATAGTAGCTGCTCTATCTCCCCCTTTTCCATGGCTAAGGGCAAATGGGTGGAGTTGCTCTTAAGGGAGGTACTATCTCTTAACCGTTGAATCATGCTAACTAATTTGATCACACGAGTAATCAATTTGATTCAATGATTAAGAGATAGGACCTCACCATATGCCCGTATTATAGCCCAAATGTCCACCAGAAATGCAAGTGGGAATTTGGCTTTTTTTGTTTTTTGTTTTTATATAGCTTTTCAATATTCAACAAACATTTTTAAAAGAAGGCAATACCAAAACTTACAAATTTTATTTTTCATAACAAAATTTTATTAAAAATTGTGGACAACCTGTCCCGGTGCATACAATACATAACCTATAAATTACACGAGCATATTTCTTCTTCGAGAATTTTCTGTATTGGAAGCTTAACATTAATGTAAACATACCATCAGCATCAGGCACAATATCAAAGTTATATTGTCACGCGAAAAACAAGCTATCCCTGTTTTTTGGTACATCTTTAGTCCCTGTTATACACATTCCAACTGCGTCAAGCGTACTGAAGGGGAACAGCATAACAGCAGGAGGCTTTTGGATTTAGCTTTGGGTCAAATTGACTCATCGGATTCATCAGAGTCGCTTCTATCAGGCTCCCCAGCATTTGTAGCAGCCTCTGTAACATCAGGTTGCGATACAGGTTCTTCTTCCACAGGCTTTTTACTTGCATTACGATCACTTCCATCTCCATCCTTCTCTTGCTCAGCTGCTTCAACATGTGACCTACTCAATTAAGGAATAAGCAAGCAAAACATACCATGCAGAACTTTGCACTTCTGGTACAAATCTAGTGAGTTACAATAAAGCAACATGTTTTGTAACCTAATGAATACGAGAACTGACCAAAAAATAAATAAATAAATAAATAAATATACATAATATATATAAGGAAAAAGGGGAAGAGGAAAACAGCGTTATTTCCGCATTTTGCACAAAATGATAACGAGATATTAATCAAACACAACATATGAGGATATCAATATTATCAGCTGGCCCACCAGCACTAATGTTCAGTAGATCTTCCTCAACACGCCGCACAAGCTCAGGCTGTAAAATGCAAGAAAATTGCAATGAGCAAAACATACAAATGTGAATGACATCATAACAAGATAGCTGCATTGCCAGCCAAATCCCTTCTCTCCCATAAAACTTATTTTTCAATTGACATTTTTTCCAAAGTCTAAAACCAGAGGATAACATCTCACAACCTTCTGTCCAAGATATATTTCTTAGTATTTGGTATAACGTGCATTTATGAGTTTTGAGAACCACGGAGACTGGATTTCTTCTTTCCTTACAAAATATATTTATAGCATTACCAAATAAAATATTCCAATGTAAAGAGGCTAATGATACATTTAGATCAGGCTCCCTCCGAAATCTTCGCTTTCGAGCATCCCTCATTGGAGGGGTAAGACCATGCCTGTACTCCACTGTATCTGGAGCCGCATCACTCGAATCTCTAACCATAATCATCTGTTAAACCACAAAAGTTCATGTAAATGCCTTAGAAACGAAGCCTTCATATATTTAACTGTTTCAACATTGATATACAGGACCCACCTGACCAATATCTGCAGTTTTAATTAACACACTATCATCATATGTTTTGAAGGACTCCACAACACAAGGAAGATCCAACAGCGATGCAGGGAAACGGTCATTTCCAACGACAAATGTGCCAGTCCTGCCATCCTCTGCAAGATATTCCAAGTTTACAACCGAACCATTTGTTGAAACAGGGGAAGCGAAGTTTTAAAAAAGGATGCAATTCGTTGTTGTTACTTCCTCATTGGTTGGCTAGTTGCGCCATGTCCAACAAACATACTAGAAACCATAATTAATCATGCGACGGATTGAAAAAGAAGCTACAAGCACATTAAGTAGGCAAAAGATTGAATAGTTATCAAAAGTGAGTAAAACCAAGTGAAGATGTTGTCTTTCTTCATGCAACATGAGGTATCTATGGCATATGGGTGGGCCATGAGTGCGGAGAATGAACTTAATTCTATTCTATTTTTACGCACAAGTCAAAGTACCATAACTACAAAAGGCCCTCAGGACTATGATCCTATACCACAACACAGGTTATATTGGCAACATCAAACATACCAAATGGCTGTCAAATGCCACCACTACAAGAAGACAACTAAAGAAAGCTTCAAACTGACATAAAATGCTTCTTGGCAAACCTTAGTCTGACATTCCAAAGCCCAAACCAAACCAATTGCTATTCATATCTTTTCACTTGAGCAATTCATATCCATTCCAAAGACCAAACCAATTGCTAAACATCAAACCCCCAAAGACAATCCAACAAAATACCCAACTCCAATTCATAAGCAAAATCACCAAATTCCAACCATCACTCTTAAAATCATTAAGCTGCCATAACCCTTAAATTAAATATTATAATTACACCTCATTGGCCCTCATCAACAAACCAACACAAAAGTTAGCATTTTTTCTCTTTCTTAGAGAGGTTTCTGCCCATTTTGTGATGAAAATAACAGAAAATTGTGACTAATTCTAAGACACCGTCAATCCAAAAAGTAGGTTTCTTCTTCTTACCTTCGAATGACAAATCCAACGACTTGTCGTCAGTAGAAGCATTTTCGCCCAAAAGGCGGTCTAATCGCTCTGCAACGGAAGGTGGAACTCTGAGTACGAACTGCTCCTCCATCACTACAAAAGTGCGGCACCGTTTTATTACCACAAATTACAACACCCAAAAAAATGATCCTAAACATTGAACACGAAAATACAACGCCATCTTCTCAGAGGTCCATGTCGCCGAAGAACAACAAACAGAAAAGAAAAACCCTAAATACAAACCAAAATGTGTAATGAATTCAAAAATTCAATCCTAAATGTAATCTAAGTTCGGTATCTAAGAGATTACCTGAGAGAAAATCAAGCTGCGAGAGAAATTGGGATCGCTAAAGAAGTAGTACTGGATTTACATGTGGTATTATGTAACAGGGTTTGTTCAGAGCTTCTTTTGGTCCGCGTAACACGAGATTATCATAGGCAGAATAAGTGAATTAGATAGATTGGGCTTTTTATTCTAGTTGGGTTCTCTCTTGGATTCTGCACTATGGGCTCTTTATGGTAGTTTAGGCTTTAATGGACTATATGGGCACTTTGTTGAATACTTGGCCTCGTGGATTTTGTTAGTTTTTTGTTTTGTTTTAATAGACGCAATAGTCTAAATTACAAGAGAATGACGATTTCTCCCATGCTACCAAGATGTGACGGGAGTTCGAATCTGAGACCACTAGTATGCAAGACAATGGAGATTTTGCAAGTTTTTATTGGATGGGTTTTGTGTGAAAAGTTAAAAGGCATGGCAATGCTCGTTTGTTAAGTATTTCTACTAAATGATGAGTACAGACCAGGCAACAAAGATGGAAGCGGCAGTAGAAAGAAAGAATTAATGAAAGCGTGCTCTGCTGCCTCCTCCTCCATTGTCCCCCACTGGAGCTGTCTCCTCACTCCATTTCAATCCGTTTCAATACCAAAGCATACATGCATTTGCAGTGTATGGGTTTGGAAACGTGTACAAGGCATGAAGCAAGAAGGTGTTGTTGTGCAAAACTTTTGGGTCATTTACCGATTGCAAAAGCTGAGAGCTTTATTAAAACTTGAAGCCATAATCAAGGCAACTCATCTCTCATCAACCAAGCCAAGCGATGGAAGAAAAGAGAGGTTAATACCAGCGACAATGGAGGCTTTCAAATTCAATCATCATATTTTTTTTCTACAATTGAAACTTGATATTAGTCCACCCAATCCTTTTACTAATCATCATATTTGTTCTAACTTCTTTTGGCCAAAAAAGTAATTAACCATTCTAAACAATTCGAGGCTCCTGCGCCCCAAATAATCACTCAAAACAAAAGTGAAACGATATGTGAATACTTGGCCTTTCTGAGTTAAACAAACTTAAATAAAAATAACAATTGTTTTAAGTTTGACAATGAATGGCAACTAAGCTTATTCCTGTCCAATCAGTACCAGAAGATCCCATGCAAATCGGAGAAATCTACAGTTTCCAAGAAGGCTTTGTATTCATTTCAGTCAGCAACCAAAATATTACAAAAGCCCTAGACCTCCGTAACTCCTCTGTTTAAAAGGAGGAAGAAATGGCAGGAACAGAAGAACCTCTCAACACTATAACCCCACAAACTGGGTTGAAACGAACATGCCTATGAGATACACAAAGATGCGGCCGAAACGAAACCCTCTCCCTCTCCCACTACATATTCTACAACCCATCCAAAATCACAAGCCAGAGTATGTAATAAGCGTACAGAAAATTTTAAAAGACAAAGTAATCCCTACTCTGTTAGTAATTTTTAATCGACACCTACCAACATTACACAAACCTCTATTCCTGTGGCGCCAAATACCAAACATAAGTCCCCCCTCCCTCAAAACATTGATGAGCACTTCCGACAGTATAAAGCATTTGATGGCTTAAACCAAACATTACAAAAACAAAAATATGACGACCTTATAAAGAAGGAAGAAGTCTGCAGCCATTACCTAGAGACACTGTAACTGCTTTCAAGAGTTAGTGGTTAGTCCCATGCACTGGTCATCCCAGGACCACCATATCCTCCACCTCCACTATAACCACCAGAAGAACCCCCATATCCACCACTGCTGCCTCCGCCATAGTAATCAGAACCACCCCTACTGAAAGAAGAATCCCTTCGGAAGTCACGGCCACCAAACCGGCCTCCCCCAGAACGACGGTTCCTCCCACCACCAAAAGAAGATCGAGCTGCATACCGGGACAGCCAAGCAGGTACTTCTTGATTTGATTCTTGCATCAAATCTGCTAAAGATCTAGCCAGGGATGAATTGTTCTCATTAAAGAAAGCAGTAGCTAAACCAGATTTCCCAGCTCGTCCAGTACGACCAATGCGGTGGACATAATCATCAATGTCATTTGGAAGATCAAAGTTGACAACATGTGCAACATGAGGAATGTCAAGCCCACGTGCAGCCACATCAGTAGCCACCAAAATTGGAGTGTTGCCGCTCTTAAATGACCTCAATGCTTGTTCTCTTTCCTGTAGACAAGTACAAATAAATAAAAGGTAGGATTTAAACACTAAAACAGCATACAATCTTAAAACACTGCAATACATGGCAACTACTACATGACCTCAAGCACATGGTATAAGATCCATTCCAAAGTCTCAAATTTGATTATACAAAAGCACAGTTCAGACATCAAGCCCAGTAGTGTATACATGATAACAGCTTTTGTACACCACTTTATCACTAAATTCAAATATCAACATAAAAGAGGAAGAATGCATCTCCATCACAACCCAGTACATACCTATTAGAAAGTCAACAAAAATCCCAAACCTAGACTCATGACCCATGCAAATACAAAACCTTAACAAGCCCACGGAAAGCCATATCACCCACACCCAGCATCAGCAAGCAGTGAAAGATGATATTCCAAAACGGCAATTCGCACTCACAGGACCTTAAACAAGCAGTCCTTGTTTCTCTACTTGTTATGTACCTTGCTATTCTTCAGCTTGTAGGAGATATAGCTAACATGCTATTTCATGTTCACTAGAATCTAAATCCCCTACCAATTCCCACCAACCCAACATTCCCAAACATGAACAATCTGCTAACTCAAAAAGTCTGAGTGAGCATATCTGCGTTTGTTCAACTATTAAAAAAAAAAGTATCCCACCATATTATCGGGGTACCTTGATGGCACCAATTACCCGGCCACACCACTGTAACTCCCTTTAAAAATTAAAGATGCAGCCCGGCATGATAGAAACCAGAAAGATAAAACCAACTAACCTGCTGTGATCTGTCACCATGAATAGTAGTTGCAGGAAAACCATTCATACACAACCAGTGTTCCAGTGAATCGGCTCCCTTCTTTGTCTCCACAAAAACTAATGTCAGAGCTTGCTACAAAACCAACATAGTGCAATCGAGTGAGGGGAGGGAGGGGTTCAAGAATCACACAAATAAAAATAATACAATTGAGAATAATTTTCACAATAAAATTTATTGGAAAATTTGGGTAATATGACAACCCCCGAAACCTATTTAAAAGAAGTTTATTCTATGAGAATACCTTGCCCTGTACGCCATTGGCCCTCTGTGCATGAAGAAGGTCCATAAGGTGACTTCTTTTATCAGACTCATGAACAAATTCCACTCTTTGGACAATCAAATCAGTACTAGAACCCACCCTTCCAACTGCCAGAAAGATGTACTTTGCAAGAAAATCAGAGGCAAGTCTCTGCATGTAAAACAGAACTTTCACATTAAACAACACATCACAAACACAGGATAGAAGAAATAGGAACAAAAAATAATCATCTTTTATACTGTTATTTGATACTCCTGGTTGGAAACATGTCTGTACAAAAGCTAGTGGAGACAACACTTTGATAAAAGTCTGCCATCTATAAACTTATTCCCACAAAAGAAAAATTACCTGTATTTCCTTTGGAAAAGTGGCACTGAACAGCATAGTCTGTCGTACACCTGGTGGAGGCATGTCCATTTGTTCCACAATTTTCCTTATTTGTGGTTCAAAACCCATATCCAGCATTCGATCAGCCTCATCTAGGGCTAAATACCTTATCATCTGCAATGAAACTCTAGCTCTCTCCAGCAAATCCACCAATCTTCCAGGAGTTGCCACAAGAATATCAACACCTCTTTCAAGTTCCCGCAGCTGTCCAAAAATACTTAAATCAAAATCTGCTATATATCTCAAAAATAACATGCCAGTGAAGTAAATGAGGAAATTTAGACAAAATAAGATGTAAGTGGTGTAACAACTTGCAGGACTAAGTATATAGACTCAAGTGCCATACATGCGTGTACATCATGTATCTCACACCAACAAACGTTCAATTAGTCTCACCATCTCAAAAAGAAGATGCTGAGAATAATTAGCAGTCATTACATGGATGAACTTAATGAAAATACAATTAGACAGAAAATATCCTAAACCAAACTATGCAATGTTCATATAATACCAAGATAACAGCACCAAACATCTAAAATGCAAACTACATTGGCAATCATGTTAATAATTTATCAGCTAAACTTAAGAATTATGCTTATAGAGTACATCCACCAATACACAAAAAGTGAAACAATCTTTCACTTTAGTTACTATAGTTCCATATGAGATTGCAAGCTAGAGCACAGGGTTTTCTAAAACTGTAAAGTTCATGAGTTGGACAAAATAAACACAACTCTCACGTTGAGTCACTAGCAATATAAAGTCATCAATTACAGAGCACTAGATAAGGACAAAGCCAAGACAACAGGGATAAAGGAAAGCATGAAAAAACCTGTTGGTTAATTGGTGCTCCTCCATAGGCAACAACCACCCTGACACCTGTTTGATATGAAAATTTCCTAGCTTCCTCATGAATCTGAAACAGGAAGAAAAACTTTCAATTCTTATCACATGGACAGCCAGAAACTGTGAAGACACGATAGATAAGTTACTAAAACATACTTGAATTGAAAGCTCCCTAGTAGGAGATAAAATGAGAGCAAGTGGATAAACTGTATGTGCACCACGGGGCGGTCTCTGTGCAGGTTGTCCCGTCATAATTCCACTGATAATTGGGAAACAGAAAGCAGCCGTCTTTCCAGAACCAGTTTGGGCACATGCCATCAAGTCCCGGCCCGCAAGGGAGATGGGAATAGCATGACGCTGCACAGGTGTTGGTTTCACGTATTTGCACCTCTGAATATTTTTATTAAGTGCATCACCCAAGTCAATATCAGCAAATGTATTCACAGGGGTCGGAACATTATCACCACTTGTCTCAACCGGAATATCTTCATACGCATCGAAGTTAATACCACTGTTTTCTTGCTCACTAAATGGCTGCTCTGTTTCTTCCTCTTCTCCAAAGGGGTTCACTTCTCGCACCCTCCCATCCCAACCACCACTTCTGCTGCCCCATCCACCACTGCGACCACCATTGCCACCATAGCCAGGTCCAGATCGACTATTGTCATTTCTGGGACCACCCCAACGAGATCCGCTGAACCCACCTCGATCATTGGCAGGCGGGCCAGTATAGGCTGGAGCAGGTGGGTCTGCTGAAGGAGGACGGTTACGCAGATGTGGGGGGACATAGGTGGAACGAGTAGGAGCAGCAGCCGTGCCAGCAACAGCATTGCTAGCGGAAGAGCCAGAAGTTGCATTCTCAGCTGCAGAATTTGCAGCCAAATCTGCCCATGAAGTTCGCATAGTCGATACAACTAGGATAAAATTATCACTCCAACAGCCTTCAAAAAACAGATATAACCCTCGAAACCTATTTCAAAATTCTCCACAATTGAACCCCAGAAATTTCAATTGCAATCCCAATGAAAATCCAAATCAGCGCAAAAAATAAAACCCTGAAAAAACAAACACATGTAAACAAAAAATAAACAAATTAACTATACATATTCATCAATCAGACCTCAAAACCACAACAATGCATAATCATCATTTCAGAAATGGACAAGGCAACAGCAGCAACATAAACAACAATGCACACTAAGTCACAAAATAAAAAATTAAAAGCCAGAGTGAGAAAGAAAACCCATTTCACCCCTCAAACCAATAACTAAATTTTCCCTCACTTTCTCTTCCTTTCTGATATACATGTATATTCCCAGCAAGCAGACAGAACCTAATCAAATAAATGGATGAAGAACAATCCCCGATCTATAATGCAACGAAAAAGCATAACCATAGACTCGACGCTAATGCAAGACAAAAGATTAGCATGCACAGTAGAGAGAAAGAGCGAAACAGGAGAGACCTGCACGGATGAACAAACCTGTAGCAGTAGAGGACGTGACGGAGGTTAGAAGAAGAAGAAAAAGATCTGAGAAACCCTAATGTTTTGTTGGTGCACGCAGACAAGAGGCAGCGCTTTAAGCCTAACAAAAATATCTTTTCTTTTCTTCAAAGCCAAAGCCGTTCCCTTCTCTCTCCTTCTAAATTTTTTTAATTTTAAAATAAATCTTTTATTTCTATTTTGTGCGGTTTTTTTTGGAGGAGGAGGAGGAGTTTTTCTTTGTTTTGGTTTTAAAAGAATTTGAATTTTGCAGGAAAAGAAAAAGAAAAAGAAACAAGTGTGAGAAAGAAAAGAAGGGTAAAGTCGAAATCCCAAAAATATTGCGGCTGGCGTGCTGTTAGAAGTTACAACGAGCGGTCTTAATATTCTCTCTATCTATCTCATACCGAATATCTATCTATGTATTCTATTTTCATCCACCCCAAAATACGGTAACTTGCCTGAGTTACTGCGCCGTAAATTCTTACTGAATCTTTAATTACATGGGAAATTACATATAAGCCTTTGTCATTCCAAATATGAAACCAAATTCAAAGTCAATTTGGATAAGTATTTGGGGTTAATGAATTAGGATTAGAATATGTGTAGCATTCTTTTGATAACATGGCAATATAATTTTATTAGACCAATAGGAAAAAAGAGTACAAAGGACGGACTGTAAAAGGAGTCATCCAAATAGCAATATGGCATACTTCGGTAAAAACTTCCCCAGTGACTTGAGCCAGTTGAAAGTTGAAACGATAAGGAGGGAATCACTCTTGAAAATAACTTTTATATAACCTCTTTTTATCGCCGTAGTTTCTTCGAATCTACTCCGATGACATCAAACACATAACTGGTTGTTAACCAACACAATTCTCATAAAGAGGCTAAGAATACCCAACTAAGTTTATGGAATTATGAGAGGAAAAAAAAAAACATAGACAACTCATAGAGTTTCTAGACTTTATTGAACAAAAAAGACCAAGACTAAAATCTAAAACAACGCCGACAAAAGGAAGAACAAACACAGTTAATCTTCCTCCGAGACATGACATAGAGAGCGTCACATAGTCACTCCATGGCCCCAACGTGCCAATCAACAATATGTCTATCATGACCAAGCAACAACACCTCAAAGACCAACCTCGCAAGATGAGGCACATTCAAAGGATTCATTGCAGAGACAATATATTTGCCAAAAGAAGACTATATCGGCATAGATATGCCAAAAGTCTGAGAACTTCGAGGATCCGAGGGGAAAACCCCTTTGGATTTGAAGCTCTCTCTCTCTCTCTCTCTCTCTCTCTCTCTCTCTCTCTCTCTCTCTCTCTCTCTCTCTCTCTCTCTCTCTCTCTCTCTGAATATGTGCAACATTTGATTCCATCTCATATAAGCAACAGAAAATAACCATTTAGATTATTGTTGAATGAAACTGAGACATCGTCAATTATAAAAACAAAACAAAAATAAAAGGTCATTTGTTTCATAATTAACAACATGTTTCAAAACCCATATAATCATTTCCAAGCAGCTAGATTATGTTGTTAGTATTTTTAATATTTGAAAACATGTATAAGGATAAATATGAAATTCTTCATGCATTGTGAAAAATATAGTTGGCATTAGTATACAAGTGCATGTCTTAGAGTTTGAGTCTCAATCTTAAGGTCTCGGGTCAATGATATAGGGGTCTTGGATTTGGCGTCCCTAATTTGAGTCACGATTCTTCAATTTAGTTCTAAATCTCAAGTCAAACTTAGCGATCATCATAAGAGTTGGTGAACCGATTGATTCACTTTTTAGTGAAAAATAAGTGATTCTTTTAATTGACTCATACCAAATCAGACTGACTTGTTTGTTTGGCTATAGTTTAAATTCTTTGGGTTCCCTTAATATTGAATTGACCTGAATAAACTTTTAACATGTGTATTCCTTGTGACATTTTCCTCCCAAACCCTAACGTAGTTTTTTGTTAATATGCCATGCACTTTTTTTCTTATATTTGTTGGATTTTATTAATTTTAAAATGTTAAAAAGAAAAACTATTTTTGGATCACTTACCCAATGGTAGGGAAATGTACTCAATACCTTTGCAATGGTGTAAGCTAAAATTTAATGTAGTTACACCAACTATATAAAAGAGAATAATTATAAATAGTATTGAAAGTAAATGTCAAAACAAACCATATATATATATAGTAATTTTTAACTTAAATTAAAAAAGTATGATGTGGAATGCCTCGAACCCAAACCCTAAACCTATTATAGGGCATTTATGACTCGATTAGACTTGGATATTCACGTAACTTGACTTAGGGCTTTACAATTAAGTTTTTCAATCTTGGGTTAGCACTACGTAACTGGACCAACCCTAGAGCTATCTCAACAAAATTTCGTTAGGATGAAAATATATCATCGACTTTTGTCACAATAAACCTACCCCATCGAACTTTTTATACCCCGACGAACTTTGACAGGATAAACCTATCTTGGCAAATGTGTGTCACAATAGATATTTCCCGGTGAAGTTTTTGGGAATTTCGACAACAAACCACTTGTTAAAATCTATAGAAAATTTGGGATACGTCCAAAATTGAGAGTATAAGTTGGATTTAATCCTCGTATTTGTTGTCATTGATGTAAGTCCTTTGACTTTTTTGCCAAATAGGATTACATTCATTTTTTGTATTTTATTATGTAGGTTTTTTTTTAATATTTAAATTATCTAGTTATTCCTATTATACCCCTAAAGTATAAATCGTGTAAAAATTAATTTATAACACAATAATTACAAGATCTACAATAATTATGTAGATATATTAATTATTACTATTATATACTCTTGTAGATATATTATCCTATGGTGTAGGTATATTGTATATGTGGTTCTTCATATTTTTAACAATGTGTAATAGTATTTTATGTTTAGGTAACATACAATTTTTTTAATCTATTTTTGTATATGACTTATAGGTAGTCTTCTAATTTATGTTCCTAACTTATAGGTAACACGATTTATCAATAAGTTTTTTTTATTACTAATAATAACACTATTTATCTGTATGTTATGTACATAATTTCATGTGGGTGCTTGTCTAATTGATTTGTATAATATGTGGTTCTTTACTTATAATTGATTAAATTAGGTAAATATTATCAAGGAAATAATTCAAAATTTATATTCTAAAATTCAATTACGAGGAAATAATGCATTACATTTAGATTTTTAATGTGTTTTCCTTATTGATTTCAAAGGGTGAAATCGACACAATAACAAAAGTAATAAATGTCAAGTGACCTACATCTTAAACAAAAAAGGAGTGGACTAAACCCAATAACAACTAATCGTTTTGGACATAGATCTAAGAAGGCCTAAAATCTACCTCAATATGTAGTCAACTAACTAGGGTTAGGTCTGGTTACATTGTACTAACATTATATTGAGATTGAAACCCTAATCGTAAATCCCAAGGTCGAGTTACGGAAGTATTCAAGCCTAATCGAGTCATAAGTGCCTTATAATAAGGTTATGGTTACGGTTCGAGGGCTCGAGAACGGTTTTGGAACAAGTTCGAAAGCTAGGATTTTTGGTTCGAGACTTGGATTTAGGGTTTGGAGGGTAAAATCCATTTTTGGTATAATAAAAAACTCATTTGAACTTGTTCCAAAAATGTTCGCAAGCATCGAACCCTAATCGTAAACCTATTATATGGCACTTAAGACTTGATTAGGCTTGGATACTCACGTAACTCAACTTATGATTTTATGATTAAGGTTTTGATCTCAATCTTGGGTGAGTAGGATGTAACCGGACCTAACCTAGACCTGTTGTGACGAATTTTCGTTGCAAGGGTTTAAGGTTTGAGGCTTGAGAACAACTTTGGAACAAGTTTGGAAACTAGGGTTTGGAGGCTAAAATCCAATTATGGAATACTAAAATAAAAATAAAAATATTTTTGGGTACTTAAAATAATTTTCTAGGATTTTTAAATAATCAAAACTATTTTTAAATTAACTTTGGAAATGAAAACTAATTTTTAAAGTCCACAAAATAATTCAAAATAATTAATAATGCATAATTAAGTAATTTATGAAACTAATTAAAATATTAAAATACTAATTATTCACTAAAAAAATAATAACTGAGTGCCGGTTTGACATTACTTATTTGGAGTGATAAGTGATTTTTAAATAATTTTGTGAAGCTCAGCCTGTTAGGTAAACTATGAGAAAATCACTTATTGTTAAAAATTGCTGTGAGAGAAAGCTATAAGGGAAAGCAGCTAATGAGGTGTTTTGATTTTCTGATTATGCAGGAATAAGTTTCAAAGAGGCGTTGGGTTTAATGATTATGCGGCAATCATTTTCTGATTATGCTGGAATCGGTACCAACAACACTTGTAACAAAAAGTTTACCAAACACCAAACTGCTTTATCTCACAACTGATTTCTCTTACAGCAATTATTATTGAAAAAATATTAAGTAATTACCTATACAAATGAATATTTTGTCCCGAGGAAAATTAAAGTACACACAATTTTTAAAATAATTAATTAATATTAATTAAGTATGTTATGAAATTAATAATGTCAATTTACAACAAATACTTTTTAAAAAAGCTAATTTTCCCCTAAACCATACAAAACTTGTCAATACATGTTAATTTTTTTTGTTTGTTGACACAAATGATAATCTAAATTACTCTCAGTTAGTTAACCTATTCCGCCATAAGGTTCCTAACAAATCCATCCAAGAAACTATGAAGAATGTGGTTATTATTATTTTTTTTTGGCACAAGTGATATTGTAAATTATTCTAATTTACAAAAATAGAGACTCAAACAAACTTGATTGTAATGAGACTGACATACTACTGTAGCCAACCAGCCTAAGCCACATTGACAATGTGTGTGACGATTTAAGTTGTTTTGTTTCGATGACTAGGCTCCGTTTGTAATTTTTTTTTTAATGCGAGGCACCTTTTGTATTTTGGAGTTTAAAGTTGTTTTGTAATTTGGTTGGATTGAAAGTTTGAATTTGAGTGTTGAGTTGTTACTTTATTTGTTGAAAAAACATCTTGCACTTGCGTTGATCCATGATTTACATCCACAATCTTAAATAACAACACACATATATACCTTGTCTCTCACGCGCCCTTCAAACCCACCCAATCAAAACTCCCACACGCTCGGCAGGGCAAAGCCCATGCATTGGTCCAATCATCACACGCGCGTAGCCCATCTACAATCCCATTTATCGTTTTAAACTTCCAAGACCAAAATAAAATATAAATATAAATATAAATTAAATCCAAAAAGAGAGTGCCAGAGAGTGAAAAAAGAAAAAGAAAGAAAAATATTCAAAAGAACTAAAAAGCCTTGGTTTCTCCACCACCGCTCTCTCTCTTTCTCTCTCTCTCTCTCTCTATCTCTGAGAAGTTCGAAGAAGAAAACGAAGAAGAAGAGGAGGAGAAATCTAGGGTTTTCTACAGATCCAGGGTTTGGGCTTCGGAGGGCATCTTGATCTGTGAAAAACGGTGTGTTTCCGGGAAGAGGAAGTGAAGGAGGAACAGGATGGATGCGGTCCCTTCGAACTCACATGGGAACCTGGATGAGCAGATTGCGCAGCTCATGCAGTGCAAGCCCTTGTCCGAACCAGAGGTACCTCCGTTATTACTATTCACTATATTCATCATTTCAGTCCGTCGCCATTTCTGTTCTTTTCTATATATATATATATATGTTGGTTTGAATGTTATTGTGCTTGTGCTAAATTTTGGAAAATGAGACGGATCGGATTCTGAAATGTTAAGGCTTGAGTGGGCCAGATCGAGAAATCTCGTGCATTTCTTTGTTTGCAACTTTGGGCGTGATATTTGAATTTAGCTCAACTAGGGTTCTCATGGGACCGATCTAGGGCTGTGATTCCTTATATCTTGGGGATCCATTGGAGGTTTTGCTTATTCACTGATATGGATTTTCTCTAATATAAGATTTACCGCCGAAATGGATAGTCTAAAGAAATGGATGAAATTCTTGGTCGCACTGATTTATTCTGCTGTTAGACTTGGGTTCTTTGTCGGCAATGTGGGTCAGATCCCCTTTCCCGTGATAGCGTTTCAGCACATGGGTTCATGAACAGGAAAATAAAAATTGGGTGTCAAGGCCTTCAAATCCGAATCTTTCAACAGATTTAGAAACCTTTTCGGATTTATGATTAACAAAGGCTTCCTGGAGTGCAATATGCTGAGTATGGTTTTGGCTAAATGGTTACAGTGTTGTTATATAAAATATTGTAACAAATTGTTCAGGAGCTATAATGACATCTTCCTCATTTCAGACACTACTGAGATAAATTGTTTTAAACCTCCTAAGTTTCTATTGCATACTTGGAGGAAAAGCTATACACCTTTGCTAGATAATGTACATGCTATTTGTATTTTTTTTCTGCTTTTAGTTGGGAATTTTAAAGTAATATATCTATGCATCCATCCATCTGACCATTGATTTACCCAGTTTTCTTGGGGAGGGAGGGAGGGCTGTGTGGGTATGTGTTTGCATAGATTGTTGGATTTCAGAACGTTGGCTATTTTTCATGGTACACCAGTCTTATTTGCTTTATTTGTTATTGTGTGATGACAGTGGTACCATCTTCATGAGGACTGCCTATTACTTTCAGGAGCTTATATCTGTTTTAATTTCATGCACATGTTTTGTAAGTTCGGATAAAGATAATTTTCACCACCCTCCATTAGATTAGATTGTTTGTATTTAAGCTTTCATTTTTGGTTTTGCCGGAGCATTGTGATAGTTATCTTAGTGGACAACAATTCTCTTTATTGCTTGCTCAGTTGTCCAGCTTAAATTTGTTGAAAGACCTTATCTTATTATTGTGTTTTTGGAGTTTCTTTAAGCATATAGGCCTTTTCATCCTTCAATGTTTTAAAGTAATTGTCAACTTGATTTGTTTAATATAGGTAAGGGGGCTCTGTGAGAAGGCCAAGGAGATATTAATGGAAGAAAGCAATGTCCAGGTGGGCCTTTTTATTGAATTCATTAATTTTAATTCCATGTGTATAATTTATCTGAAGAATATAGATTAATATTGTTAACTTATGCATTAAGTTGCTTAAATCATGCACGTAACAAGTCACAAATACATTTTGGTTGGGGGTTTGATATGAGAGATACCCTCATGTGTTGCTATCAAGGTTTGCATGAATAGCAAGTAAATGGTGAGAAAGGGGTTTTGGTGAGGAGGAGTTATACTTGTCCTTTGATGGTGAGTTTGTTAAGGAAAGAAAGGGAGGAATTTGGAGGGAGAGAATCAAAAGCTGAACAGTTTTGGAATGAAAGGTTTTAATTAATGTGAATCCTTAGCAGAATAGTTAGGTTTTATTTGTTATAATAAAAGGGTATTATGTTAAAGATAACTGTATTTCCTTTCTTTCTTTTCTCTCTTTTGCATTTTGGCGGTTCATTCACATCTTTCTTTTTATTACATCATACAGGTGTTGAGCTTATAATAATATTGACATGTCTTGAGATACAAATAATCATTTTGGTTTTGATGTGTTGCAGCCTGTGAAAAGCCCTGTAACTATTTGTGGTGATATTCATGGACAATTCCATGATCTTGCCGAGCTTTTCCGCATTGGAGGAAAGGTATTTGTTTGATTTGAGCTATTTAGTTCTACTTAATGTAAGTTCTGGACATTTTAGTGTTGTGATTTTAAGAATCATATGTTTTGTATTTTCTGTACATGTGAGTTTGTAATGATATATTTTGTGATTAGTCTATTTCATTTACTCTAAAAGTGTTTATGAGGTTCACTGAGAAGTAGTGAATCAAGTGTAAGTGTGAGGGATAATCAGCCTTGTATTGTCATCTGACTGATCTTTATGTGTAATGTTTTCTGTTTGTAGTGTCCGGATACGAATTATTTGTTTATGGGAGATTATGTGGATCGTGGCTATTATTCAGTTGAAACAGTGACAGTAAGTATTAGTGTTTTTATTTCTGCTTTTTATCATTCAATAAGTTTAGTTGTAATTTTGGGGTTCTCCTCATGTTGGCACTAACATATGAAGATATTCTGGAAACTCTTGGACAAGAATTTGGTTGAATTTATGTGGTTTTGTTCAATATAACAAATTAAATTACAGTTATTAAGGCCTTCAAATTTTACTTTAGGAGAGTTGGATATATGTTGAGCATGAGCTATGTGTTGCGTTAGTAGCCTTATACTTCAGAGCTTCCTGGATTCCAAGGTTGTACATGTCAATATCATTGTCCTCCATTTTGGTTTGTATGGTTTAAAACTTGACAGAAGGTCGGGTCGGATAGAAAAATACTCCAAACCTGTTTTATCTCGATCTATGAACACCCTAGTTTATATGTTTCAGGGCGACTGGAAAAAATGTGTAATACATATAAAGACAATGAGACTGGACTTGAATTGGATTGCACTTAAGAAACATAATGTTCTTATATTGGGAATTTCCCATTTTCAACGCCATGCCATGTCTTGCTTTTTTTTTTTTTTTTTTTTTTTTTTTTTTTTTTTTTTGAGAAAAGAAAATTATTAAGCAAAAGAACACGGAGGTGGATAAGGCAACCACAACCGAAGAAGAAGAACAACACAAAAAGAAACAAACAACACCAACCCCTCCCAAACTAACAGGGAGGAACAAAGCCAATAAACCACTGAAACAACACACCCCCCAACCCTCAAATAACCACTACTGCCATATCCCTCAAAATAGTACAAAGAGAATAATCTTTAAAATCTTCAGTAACAGAAGCCCACAAAGCTGCCCAGTACTCAACTCTATCCCACAAATCACTAATGTGCCATATTGCTTTTTCACATCTGTTTATGTCTATCATAACCTCTTTATCTTTTTATTCAGCTCTTGGTTGCCTTGAAGGTGCGTTATCCTCAACGTATTACTATCCTAAGAGGAAATCATGAAAGCCGTCAGGTATACTTTTTCTCTCCCTGCATTAAATATGGCATTATTGTTCATATTATTTTGGTAGGATTTACATGCTTGGTTTTTAATTTATCAAAATAGGATTCTCATTTTCCGAAGGGAACTGTTAATGTTGATTATGGCTTTATGTTTCCCCGTGCAGATTACTCAAGTTTATGGTTTTTATGATGAGTGCCTACGGAAGTGAGTTTCTTTAACATCTCTTGTTTTCTGGGGTCAATTTTGATACAATTAAGATATTTGTATGGTTTGTGACTTCTCCAAGGACTCTGTTCTCCATTTGCCTAGGTTCAGGTCTAAAAAGTATATACATGTAAAGTTGTTCTTTTACATGTACTTTTGTTTAGAAAATTTTCATTATACTTTAGAAGTCAGTGTGGATTAAGGGAAGCAAAACTTAAATTATTTTGTGACGAGACTGCCCTTTAATTTTTAACCAAGGGTTGTTTCAGTGACTGGTAAGCCCTGTTTTGTGTATGTATATGCAGGCATGTAGTATATATACCCTTGAAATCTTCATATAATATGTTCATAGCGGAAATTGCTATTATGCTAATTTGTGCTCTCTAGCCTTTCTGTGCTTCTTTTCATTTCCATAATCAACCATATATCATATTGTTCACTTATCATATTCTCATTTATAGGCTGGCTTTTCAGTATGCTTATATTTGATTTCATGATCATACTCTTTTACTGATTCAGGTGTATCGTGTCCAGTTGAATGTGCATAAAAGTTATTAAAACTCTATAATATGAATCAGTTTTTGTAGTGTATCACTTCAATAATATTTTAGATGTACATTACCTTAAAAAAATTTAACTTACTGTTGCTCCGGATTAATCTCTTATGCCTCTGAAGTTGACTGTTGATCAGTCAACTAGTGTGCATTTTTCTGCTTCACACTTCCCTTGTCCTCCTCAATTGTATATATCTTATTTGTCAAGCTTGTAAAGGTAACCCATTCTTCTTCTATTTGCAGGTATGGTAATGCCAATGTTTGGAAGATCTTTACAGATTTATTTGATTATTTCCCTCTGACAGCATTGGTTAGTATAGTTATACATGACATATTTATGATGCTTAAATGGTCAATGTAGGTCAGTTGTTTAGGTTAGCAGTACACAACCGTGAACGTTCTTGTTATTTGTATTGGTTGAAGATTTTCATTTTTGGGTGAAACCTTCTATTCCATTGCTACCAGTTCAATTGCAAGAGCCCCTCTAATGCATTTTCTAATTTCTTACCTTTTTCAACCATGTTGCAACATCAGCTTGAGTGCGAACTGCTATTACTTTTACCACAACTTGTCACGTTGAACTACTTAGCATCTTTTGTGCCATATTTTGTATATCACCAAATCTAGCCTGTGACACAACCCTTAATAATGTGGCCGTAGCTGTTGTAGGCATTAATGTCGCTTTGCAATGGTCGAAAATTGTTTTGCAATGATTAGAAGTTGATTTTAATTGTTTGTGCTATCAGGAAGTGATAGTGGTCTGGTTTCTTTGCTTGTTGCTAAATTTGAAAGCTTATACTTCACAATTTAATTTATCAACAACTTGTTAGAATGATTTAGGTATATCTAGAGTTTTACCCCCAATTGTTTGGCAACCGTGTTGATAATTAGGCTACCTTTGCCATCTTTTCTTTTACACAATTAATTTTTTTTTACTGTAAGTAGTTAAGGAAATCGTTCATTATATATTTTTTGTTGATAAACTTAGGTGCGGGTAAATAGTTTAATCATTTTCCCATATATTGACATATTTTCTTTTATTTGGTTGAAGGTTGAATCTGAAATTTTCTGCCTGCATGGTGGACTGTCTCCATCTATTGAAACCCTTGATAATATACGTAATTTTGACCGTGTACAAGAGGTTCCTCACGAGGGTCCTATGTGCGATCTTCTATGGTCTGACCCTGATGATCGCTGTGGTTGGGGTATCTCTCCCAGGGGTGCTGGATATACTTTTGGTCAGGTAGTTTATCTGCTCATTTTTTGCCTTATTGGGGTTGGTTTGAAATTCAGTTGACCGGCCCTCTACAGTCCCACCAGACTTTGCTGATCTGCTTCCTTTTGTTGCTTTAACAGGACATATCTGAGCAGTTCAATCATACAAATAACTTAAAGTTGATTGCTAGAGCACATCAGCTGGTCATGGAAGGATATAACTGGGGTCATGTGAGTATTTTACCCTCATTTTGTGGTTGTATTGGCAGATGGTTTATTTTGAGAAGGAAAGTTTGTGTAATTAGTTTGTTTATTTTATGGCAGGAACAAAAAGTCGTCACTATATTTAGTGCACCCAACTATTGTTATCGCTGTGGAAATATGGCATCCATCCTTGAAGTCGATGACTGCAAAGGTCACACATTCATTCAGGTTAGTCCCTCTTTTCCCCCTCCCTTCTTTGCCCCCTATCCACACTCGCAAACTCTGACACTAGAATATAAGTGATATGTTATAATTTATTGAATGATTAAACGTTGGGGTTGATGTATTACAGTTTGAGCCAGCTCCAAGGAGGGGAGAGCCAGATGTGACCCGAAGAACACCTGATTACTTCCTATAATGAAACTGCCAAATCAGTTGCTGAATTACCTGCTGTGGTTGCCTGCTAGAAGGTTTATGTATCTAGGGCGGCTCTACTTAACTCTAAGGTTATAGTTTCACAATAGTGGTCGGTTGTGGAAAATCGTGTAAGGTTGGCAGGTGAGGGTTCCTTGGATTGTACCCGAGTCTCTGCAAAAGGAAGCATCCGAGGTGGCGACACTGTTGCAGCATATGTACCATTTCCAGCAAACAATGTGGCATCTTCTGTTCTGATTTTTCTTCTCTCTACTTTTTTTTAAAAAATTTAATTTTTCTGTAGAAGGATGGTTTTTTTGGGGGTTGGTGATCTGTAGAGGGATGATGAGCTCACTTCCTATAATGGGTGCTTTTATTATTTTTCCCCTTAGTAATGAATACAATGTTCTCCAATAGGTTTATTTTTTAATTTTAATTTTTTTCCCATAGTCTAATTCAATTTATAGTCTGGCAGTTCTCCCTTTTTTCTCCTTCACACAAACCATTACATTTCACTTTTCTCAACTTCAATTGCATGTGGCAGTTCGTTGTTCCACTTTCAGAATTGTATCATACCAACACCGTGTACTTTTTAAGCCAGTCCGGCCTTCTCCGTTTTAAGATTCTGAATTGTCTGCCAGGTGTACAAGCCTTAGGACCGCCATTTGGACGACTACAAGTATCTTAATCTTGTTACCCATTAAAGATGTGCTTTCCATTAGATAGAGTGAAATAACAATTATAAAGTTGAAAACGAGATAGATGCGCTAACGTTAATAAGAAAAGTGTTTACATCTTTAAACAGTAAACATGTACAGGATTTACACACAGCTCTGTTCCACGCAAAACATATTTCTCATAAATTTGATATAATTTCAGCCTTCTTCTTTCTTTATCATAACGATTTTGTACTCCTTACGTTCTTGTGCTGCTGAGAGAGCAAGCTACTTGTTGACAGAGATCTTGAGTATGCCAAAGGCAACATGAGAAGTTTCTTAGCTCTCCTTACATATGCTCTCTTTGTCAAGTTATCGTAATCGTTATCCTCGATCGCATCCAAGATGTTACGATAAATCAGTAGCGATGACCATACCTGCAAAACAAAAGTACATCATCATCATCAGAATAATAAACTTTTCTTTGTTGATGGATACACTATGTTTTTCAACCCCAACAAGTCGAAAGCAGCATATATAAACGTCAAACAGGCAAAACAACAGCACATTCGTTTTTGTTGTTTGTGTTTGTGTATTCTATTAGTTGACGTTTTCTTTGAAGTGCAATGGTTTGTTTTCTAGCCTCTGAAATGATCCACACCTTAGTTCTAGGTAATTGAATTGAACCTTCAACTGCTACGCAAGATGATTAAAAAAATATAATTATGGAAGGAAGAGGTATATACCGGCCAACGGCTAGCCTTGTCAAGCTGAGAAGCTCCCTCCTCTGCCAGGTTGAAATAGAACCTTGCTCTTGTGATCTGTTCTTTCATGAACTCTCTCCACTGATCAGTCACCTTTCTTGAGAAAACGTCGTTATCGCCTAACCCGAACTGTGCTAGCTCATCTTGGGGAAGATAAACTCTCCCTCTCATAGCACTAAAAAAAAAGACAGAAAAAATTGATCAGAGAGACAAAGTGAATGAAGAAACTGAAAATGATCAATTAGTACATGTTAAAGAAACCTACTCCTCCCCAACATCCCTAAGGATGTTTGTGAGTTGATTTCCAATGCCCAAATATAGTGCAGCATCATATGTGCTTTGAGCAGAAATCAGAGAATCTGGTGCAATTCCCATTACAGGAACACTCATTAGGCCGACCGTCCCTGCCACGTAGTAGCAGTAAAGATAAAGCTCTTGAAAATTCTGGTAGCGACATTTTCTTGTGTCCATTCTCATACCCTCGATCATGTCCCTGAAAGGCTTTGGTCACAACAAGGATATTCTATCAGATGAAAATGGCTGCTACCAATTTTACAAGGAATCATTTTCTTGAATTTAATGGGATATTCTCTAAGCACCCACCTTGATGTCTAAGGGGAAACTGAAAACTGTGTGTGTTAATGCAGCATCAAGCATGTCGTAAGGCCGTCCTTCGAAAATGTCTTGCAGCCTCTCTTCCCATCTATCAAGAACTTCAGAGCTCATGTAGACAGAATTGGGGCCATCCACCAGTTCATCTGTTCTTCTACACCAAACTGCATTCCATTTCCAAAAGATTAAACTTATAGTTGCTTATTTACATTACAAACCTATTAACTCCCCCTTTTATCTTGATTTATGAACATGATTTTTCTTCCAAGCCTTGCTACTATAAATGAACTTGAAGTTATAATTCTTACCATAGATTGCCCATATTGCCTTTTGACGCTCCTCTGTCATTAGTAAAGTGCCTGCATGAAGAGAGTGCACCAGAATTGAATCTCATATTCATGAAAAAAGTGATTACTAATTAGAATGCAGTTTAAAAAATTTGTTGGGAAGAAAAAAGAAGGGTAATGAAGTTGGACCTAGATAGAATGTCTTGGCATATTCTGCACAAATGTTCCTGCACCTTTCATATGCTTCTTCAAGAAAGCTAGGACAGAACTGTGGCTTTCTGCGGCCGCCTTCTCTGTCCATGCTGTAAGTCTGAGACTGCCTTTGAACAATTTCTTGTACATGTAAATCAGCAATAGGAATGCCTTGTATTGATAACTCAGGAAATACAGGTCTGCTTCTTTGCTTGGGAGCTGTAATCACTTCAGCTCTTGTTGCTGTGACCATGGATTTTCGATATCGAAAATTTCCATTGCTCTCTCCAATGTAAGTCTTTGCTGCAAGGGAAAATGTTGAACACATTTGGCAATTCTTTTACTTCTTTACCCAGACAAAAAAAAATGGTCTAGAAAGAAAGATTGAAAATATGAAATGACAATGTATGAACACCTCCTCTGCATTTAAATACCTCTCTCTTTCATGTGGTATCCTACTGTAGCTAGGAGATTGGATGTACTTTGTTGACTGTTATGCAGGTCTGGCCCACTAGTGCAACGGCCTTGGATATTATGTTCAAGACTTTTTTACCTCAATTTATTTACAAATGTTACTCTTTTTTTTTGTATGGTAATTTTGAAAGGCCAAAATATGTTTCTGATAAGTTTGACCTCTTTCTGGTTTAAAATAAAAACTTATGGTAGATAATACAGTGTCAACTAACAAACATAACTTAAATACAAAAACCTTGTTGGGTGGGAGGAAGTGACGTGTTTTACAAAGTGGAAGTGTTTGTCTTTAAGCTATCTACCCAAGCATTGTTGCAGACTGTCTTGTTGTGTAATCTCATAATAGAATCTTCATCAGCATAAGATACCCCTTTAGTCTCCTTGGTGCTTTTTTTGGTGTTTTGTCCTGGAGTGATGTTTAGATTTAGGGTGCTTATGTGGAAGAGATTCCCACACTAGTTAAATAAACATGTGTAAAAAACAATGATGAAACAGATTAAATTGTTGTCATTTTGTATGAAAAGTATGCTTAAGTAGGCCTGGAAAATACTTAATTATAATTGCTAAACACCTCCTGACATTGGAGCTAAAAAACAATGAGAGGTTTGGCCAATGAGGTGTTAGTTGATTGGCCCAGGCTTTGGTGTGCTTCCAAGTGGTCCTAGGTTCCAACTCCCATGGTACGCGTGTGTGTGAGTTTTCCCCCTCCTAACCTTGCAAAACAAAAACAAAAAAGCGGATAAGTGACAAAATTGACCATGCAGTTCTTTCATTTGGCCAGTTATTGACATGAGATGTAACACTTTTAACTTTGCATAGGGGAAGATTAAATTGGAGATCATCTTAAGATTTCAGATGTCAAGATGCAGGGTTTTCATTTCAAAATCGTTGCAAAACAGATACATAATATTTTCATATTTCAAAATCTAGCTTTCAATTTTTCTCCACTTTTGTTGACAATACTGAAACAGAGCATTAATAATTTTTTGCTAGCTGGAGGAGGGGGGAACAACCATGGCTGGCCTTGCTGTCATGGCCATGGCAGCAAAGGTTCCACAACAATATGTATTCTCTTTGGGGAGCACATATATTGGAATTGGGAAAGATCATATATAAAATAATGTTGGATCTCAAATCTATCCAATATCAAAGTATTTGCTCATGAAATGGGATGAGTTGATCCAGAATTTTCTTGGGGTGGAGAGGAGGGGACACAATGAAGATAAATTAAAGCAAGAAGTTGATGCATAACAGCGCTGTTGTATGCTGATGAAGTAACATATAAAATAACTACGTTAAAAAAATAATGCAATCTTTGACTGATGAAACACATCTTCCATGCATGTGCATCTTTATTAACTTAATATTGACATGGAGAACAACGTGTTTCCCCGACTTGTTTCACTTCTTTTGTCAGAAGAAACAAGTTTGTTTTTATATTTGATGTACCGATCGAGCAACTTAACGTTGGCCAGATGAAAACAAGTGGGTAAAAAAGGATTTCAACAGGGAATTCTAAGAACAGAACAATTTTCGTTCTATTAACTTTAATGATGTGTAACTTGAGTGTAATAATCTGCAGCTCTTTTTCCTAATATATACAATACAGCTGGGTTGTCTCCATTGAAGGTCCTATACAAGTTTGTAAATCTTTCCACCTCTCTCGTTCTTCCTCAAAGTGGAAACAGAGATGATATATCACTCGTTTATCTTTAGACTAATTCGCATGGGCTTAACTGCTGCCAACACCACAGCAACTTTAGATGCAAGAAATCCGATCATCCCAGCCATGAGTTCCTTAGGTGTGAATTCCATGGGGGCATCCCCCGAGCCATACTTCACTGTGAATAAAGCAAAACCAATCGCCAATGCAAGACCAAATATTCGGCCCTTAGATCCTCCAAAGATTTGGTTGGGCCTTCCTGTGTTACTGGAAGTCAATTCTGGAGCGGGTAATCCATCAACAGACCTTTGCAGTAGCAGCAGATACAAGAAGCCACCAATCCCACCAGTTAAAAACGCAAAACTCACGTCTTCCCCCACTGAGAAGGATGTGACTGATGTACCAACAAAGATCAGCATGGCATCATAAAGTAGCAAAGATAACTTCAAATCTTCATATTCTCTCATGGTTTCTTCGTTTGATATCCCACGGCCCACAAGCATGGTTGATTCAGGGATGCTTTTATTGAAGATGGTGAACGGGTCAACCCCAGATAGCTTGGTGACAAGGCAAGGTCTAAGTTCCACCATGGAACTATCACTTCCCTCCCCCAGCAAGATATCATCAACCTCAAAGTTGTAATTGAAACCAATATACTGAAGTTTTTCTCCATCTTTTTCCTCCAAAGAGCTTTGTTGCCCACAAATAACAGTCAAGCTCACACTTCCTAACCTCCATTGGCCTGACCTTGGAGAGTTTAAAGAACAATTGTTAGCATGATTTGGTCAAACATGGGTAAAGCCGGTTTTTTAAGCTCACACTTTCTGATTCTACAGAAATTCAACTAGTAGGCATATATATAGAGACAGGACTACAAATAGTGAATCTGCTAAATAAAAGTGTTCAGCGGCTTATAGCCTTATACTTGGCCTCCATATGCTAAACTAATTCTAGTAAAGACTACCTGATTCAAGACTGATCCAAACGGCTTCAACTTTTCCAAGTTTAGGTCCCTCAAAGGTGAACTCATCAACAGAACCTCGTTGAAAGTGAAGTATGCCATCCTCTGACTCTGTAGAATGATCTGTTATCAAACTCGAGGGCATCCTCTGTAATATGGAGTCACCGTTTTCGTCTATCACACACAGGAGGATTCCAGCATTCAAGTCAGAGAGACTTGAGCCATAAACATTACTAGTACCTAACTTAACCTTATATAGAGACTGAGATCCATCATCACTTAAAGATGAGAAAGCCTTTACCACTGAGTTATCTGTGCAGACTTTCACTTCTGTAGCTGGCAAGAGACGTGAAGGCTTTGCACAGCCCTTTAAATCTAAAGAAAAAAAGGGAGAACTTTTAGCTTATTGAAAAATTAATAGAATATAATGCGGAAACATATAGAAAACAAACGATGTATGCAGTTAGCCGGCAACACTGATTAGAAATTTACTACATTTATGCCTACATACAGGAAACTTGCCACTTGTATTCATGAAATCTGTCCATAGTGGGAGCAAGTAGCTTACAAACCTACATCCATCCGAGGTACCAAGTTTGTATTCCCTCTCCTCCAATGTCATTTGATTATTTGAAAAACCAAATATAGGTACACATTTGACGAAAGTTAATTACTTTAAAATTTCACAGGCATTGAATAATTCAAACTTTGATTTGTAATGGATTTGATACAACCAAAATGAAACCAGCTTTGAGTTAATTATTATCCTATGATTAATCTCTCTCTCTCTCTCTCTCTCTCTCTCTCTCTCTCTCACACACGCACACACAGAGACAAACGCTTATATATATGATTCAGCTTCCTAAGAAAATAAAATATGCTAGTTGAAAGTTTTGAAATGATGAGTACACGTCTGACAGAAGGGGTGAATTACTTAAAGAGCAGGCCAAAATCATAATAATAAAATCATGGCACATAAGCTTTCAACCATCTTTGTCTTTAAACTCGAAAAACGCTAAGAAATTATTAGCGCCAGTGCCAAAAAGCAACAGAGCAGCTGAATATAGAAGGGTTTTTTCAATCCTTCTTCATAAATTTTCCTGGGTTTTCTCAGATACCAAATAAAGAAGTTATCTTTCTTCAAATGAAGGAATCCCAAGCAAGTGGCAAAGGATTGGATACCTTGGAAATCCGATTGTTTGGAATGGATTTTCTGAAGTCGCCCAGTTGGTTTGTGGAGGTGAAACCTTTGGGTGTGAAATGGATTTTCTGGGTTCCTTTTTCTTCTCCATCGAAAGCTGTGATTTGTTGCAGAGATTGCATGCGTCAGAGAAATGGACTCCATTGCTGCAGTTTCAGACACACGCTGAGACACAGAATGAAATAGAGTTTGTATAGACTCTCTGCGGCACTCGGCAGTATCATAAAATATATATATTTTTTGGCACTCTGTTTTTCAGTGATAAATATATTCTAGATGTTTTGATATCATCTGCGTTTGTAGTCCAACGGTTAGGATAATTGCCTTCCAAGCAATAGACCCGGGTTCGACTCCCGGCAGACGCATTCCTCCTTTTCATTTTGAACATCTTATTCTTAAGTGAAATACACAAAACAACCACATTGTCTAAATTGTTTTGTACTATTTTTTCCTCTCAATATTATTGTATGCTTTTTTTATTATATAAAAATAAAATAAAATAATTTATTATTTATTTATAAATAACATAGGTAAATGATTACTGATCAGCAGGTATTTGTCTACATTGTTCTGGTTGATGGGTGTTGTGGGGAGTTGATATACATCTAAGCAAGCTCTGATCACATCCTGTTTTAGAGTCTTGGTATGAATCTTTGGTGCCAGAGTTGGCCAGCCAGGGGGGATAATTCTCAGAGATCAATTAGGTCAATTTGAATCCTAGAGTGCAAGCAACTGAATGAAACATGTATACAATAATCATAAAAAGGTGATCAAGCAGAGATTAGTATGGTATAGCTCTGTTCTCGGTAATTTGACAGATGTAATTTCAGCTTCTTTATCAAGAGGACTTACATAATCACATTAATTTGCTAGCTTGAACGACTTTTATTATTGAGAGATAAGATATGAAGAAGCTTTGTGTTTATAGAGATGGATCTTCTGTATGTCAAAGACAGCATGAGAAGTTTCTTAGCTCTCCCTACATATGCTTTCTTTGTCAAGTTATCATAATCTTTGTCTTGTCTTCAATAGCATCCAAGATGACATCAATGACGCTGACCACACCGGCAAAACCATTGCAGATCATTACAAGAAAACAACCATTCCTGCACGTAGGAGGACAATAGGGTTTATTTATTTATTTATGAACAAATTAAATTACTCAGCAACAGCTGCAACACAACTGCAATGCTGCAAATACATTCATTATTGTAGTGTTTGTCTTTAAGAGACATTTTTATCTAGTTTTACCTTTGTACTTTTTCAAGTAGAATGATCTGTGTTCTAGTATTCGAAATGATCTGTGTTCTAGTATTCGAAATGATCTGGCCTTGTGGCAGATAGGAATGGGAATAATTTTCTGGTGCCATGACCATTCCCTCTTTCAAGTTATGGTTCTATATTGTGCCTTCACTGTTAAGCAAGATCAATAGCAATGCTTTAATGCACATATGGTGTCAAAATGTAAAGAGGTATATACCGGCCAACGGCTAGCCTTGCAAAGCTGAGAAACTTCCTCCTCTGCCAGGTTGAAATATATCCTAGCTCTTGCAATCTGTTCTTTCATGAACTCTCTCCATTGATCAGTTATTTCTTGAAAAAACATCTTCATCGGATAACCCAAATTGTGCAAGCTCCACTTGGGGAAGATAAACTCTCCCATTCGTAGCACTAGGAAAAAAAGATAATAGGAAAATATATCAGAGAGATGAAGTGAGTGAAGAAATTAAAAATGACTGTTTTATAGAGTACATATTAAAGAAGCTTAGCTTACTCCTCCCAAACGTCTCTAAGGATGTTGGTTAGTTGATTTGCAATGCCTAAATAAATTGCAGCTTCATATACACCTTGAGCAGAAAACACTGAATCTGGTGCAATTCCCATAACAGTAATACTCATTGAGCCAACCGTCCCAGCCCCGCCATAGTAACAGTAAAGGTAAAGTTCTTGACAATTCTGGTACCAAAATTTTCTTGTGTCCGTTCACCCTTGATAAAGTCTCTAATAGGCTATCTGATCAGACAATGGTATTCGATGAGATGGGATATACATTGCATGCTTGGAAAAGGATTTATATTCAAGCTTATATCATTGAAAAACTTGAAAAAGAGTAGCAATTAGCAGCATTCGATCGAACACATAAGCACATTGATGTCCAATGGGAAATTGGAAACACTATGAGTCAGCATCGCGCATGTCATGGGGGCGTCCTTCAAAAATGTCTTGGCAAGACTTAAAAATTAACAAGTTTGATAGAGACCTAGATATATAGTATGTCTTGGCAAATTCTGCACAAATTTTCCTGCACCTTTCATATGCTTCTTCAAGAAAGCTAGGACACAACTGGCTTTCTGCGGCCAACTTCCGTGGCCATGTTACATGTCTGAGACTGCCATTGAACAATTTACTCTATACCTGTAAACCAGCAAAAGGAATGCCTCGTACTGATAAGGGGAAAACAGGTATTCTCATTTGCTTGGGAGCTAGTATCCCTTCCCTTCAGCTCTTGTTGTGGCCATAGATTTTCAGGGTGGGAATTTTCCATTGTCTCTTATGAATGCCTTTGGTGCAAGCGAAAATGGCGAACACATAGGACAACTAGCCTTACTTTTTTGGAAACAGTCTAGTGAATAAGGTAGAAACATGAAGCGAGTCCTAAATATATGAAACATCTCCTTTTAATGATGACGTCTCACAAATTTGAAAACTTTAATGCAAAAAATTAAGCTTGTCTGGTGGGGTTGTCTTTAGCTAATCGTATCGTATCTACCCAATTATTGTTGTATAGTGTGTCTTCATGTATATATATCAATTTCGCTTTCAGTTTTCTCCAATTTTCTTGACAACCAAACAGAACCATGGCCTGGCCTTCTTGTCATGACATGACCATTGAAAATATAATATATAACATCATTTTGATAGTCAAATTTGATGACAAAAAACTTAAATGAAACAACAACGAAATATTTGACTAACGAAACAAATCTTCCATGGAAAACGTGCTTACATTACGTTTCGATGTTTTCAATTATATAACAAATCTCCCTTCCCCAATATCGATTGTATAATAAATAAAACTATATCTGTAGTAGGAGTTTTTACTTCTAGTGATTAAGAACATTTGAAAATTTTCCATTAAAACATCCAAGAAATCCCAACACAAGAAAAAGAAAAAAGAGAACACCATGAAAGCGGCCAATTCTTCTCCAAATTCAAAAACCGTTCTTCCTGAAAATGAAAAACAAGAAGCGGTACAAGAACCTCAAATAAAATGCATATATTTGACAAAATATAATTACTTAAGAGATTTGACAGGCAGCTAAGGCATTAAATCAAATTGAAACCATCTTTAAATAATTTTGTCTTCAACTTCAGTCTTCCATAGAAGCAGAGAAAGCATTAAATCCAATGTCAAAAAGGAAAGCAACCGAGCATGCTGAGTATGAGAAAGAGACAAGGTTTTATTCAGTCCTTCTTTATAGCTTCTCCTCCGTTTTCCTAGCCCCCAAATTTGAAGTCAGACACACGTTGAGACACACAATGAAGGAAAACAAAAAAACAAAAAACTCTGCATCATATGTTTTTGTCAAAAAATAAAAAAGAAATCAATTCACTAGGATTTATATAAATAGTTTGGACATTTGAATATCGTTGTGTTTGTAGTCCAACGGTTAGGATAATTGCCTTCCAAGCAATAGACCCGGGTTCGACTCCCGGCAGACGCATAAATATATATATATATATTTTCCTCTGCTTAATAATAAAAGTCATATATATTTTTTTATTTAAAAAAAGAGAACACACACACACTAGCTTTTCTCATAAATTCTGGGTGGTTTAGCTTAGATTTTAAGCACGCATATAAAAAAGATAAAAGAAAGGGAGGAAAAGAGGGGAGAGAATAAATACTTATTTTATTTATGTCCCCACCACCCACCCAATTATCTTAAAGAATAATTTTTTTATTTTTAGAAATTTTAAGATTGCATTCATAATTCCTCTAAAAAGATCATAAATTACCATTACAATCACAGAGTAATCTAACATCAAAATTAAGATAATCTTAAAATTTGAACAATCCTTTTGGAATTATTAAGGGCAAGAATATTTGGAAGAAAAATAAAATCTACACATATATATTTCAGCTTTGCAGTAATGACATTTTCTTTAATTGGATTGGATACATAATGACTTATATAAACCAAGGATTCATAGTAATCTCCATCCAATATCATCCCCATATATATAACGACTTATGCCTATAATGGTAAACTCGATATGAACCGTCCATGCCAGTTGTCAACTTTGTGTTTGGTGTTAAGGGCAATCAATATAGCTCAAGAAAACAGACAAAATCTTAGCTATTATTATTAGTAGACTATATTATGATATACTCAGAAAATTTAAATTGAGTGCTTCAATTTTCACTTCCTTGTCTTATTTTCTAATATACTTTTAAAGATAAATTTACCTTTTTGTAAAATGACTTTTACCCTCCGTTTAGATGAATTTAGGGTATTTTATAAATAATAGTGTCTAATTGTACGAGCGCATATAAAAAATAATTTTTTTTTTCTACATTCAACATCTGTCTATATTCAAAATGAAATAATAATTAAACTTAATTCAATGGATATTTTTGTCAAACAAAGTGTATGAAATTTTTTAGATGTATTCAAATATGCAGATAATTTAGATATCTCATATATGTATTTATAAAGAAGTACAAAGATGTATTAACCCTAAATACAATAAGAAATAAATCTACACTATAATAGCAAATAAATCTCAATTACAATAGACCTAATTAAATAGGTAAGTAATCAAAATCCTAACATAATAAGAACTAAAATCCTAACTAAGAAACCAAAATCCAAACTAAGTAAGTAATCGGTCTTCAACTCCTATCTTTATTTCTGAGCCCAAAAAGTAAAAAACTCCGATCTTTATTTGAATGGAATGACCCAAACATGTACCGAATACAACTCTCTACCTTCTTAACTTAACCAAGCCAATTTTTTTCTTGTTTGATTGGAAAATTCAGCACACATGGCTCTCCAACACCAGCAAGAGCAACCCACTACGCCATCTTCTCCAAAACCACCAATCCTTGAGGATCAGGTTCTTCCCCTCACCACCACAACCACCACCATCTCCTCCACCACCACCGCACACAGAAAGAAGCTCACTCTCATCCCTCTCATCTTCCTCATCTACTTTGAAGTTGCCGGTGGCCCTTATGGAGAAGAGCCTGCAGTGCAAGCTGCTGGACCCCTTTTCGCCATTCTCGGGTTCCTCATCTTTCCTTTCATCTGGAGTGTCCCTGAAGCTCTCATCACTGCTGAGCTCTCCACAACCTTCCCTGGCAACGGCGGTTTTGTCATCTGGGCTGAGAGAGCTTTTGGTCCCTTCTGGGGCTCTTTGATGGGTACCTGGAAGTTCCTCAGCGGTGTCATCAACATAGCTGCCTTCCCAGTTCTTTGCGTGGACTATATGGACAAGATAATACCGGCTTTTGGATCGGGATGGCCTCGGTACCTTGCCATCTCTGTTTCAACTCTGTTTCTTTCGTTTATAAACTATACTGGTTTGACTATTGTGGGTTATGCTGCTGTGTTACTTGCTATTGCTTCACTCTCTCCATTTATATTGATGTGTTTGATTGCCATTCCAAAGATTCATCCTCATAGGTGGCTCAGTATGGGCCAAAAGGGTGTGAAGAAAGATTGGAACTTGTTCTTTAACACCCTCTTTTGGAACTTGAACTTTTGGGACAATGTTAGTACTTTAGCCGGAGAAGTAGAGAACCCCCAGAAAACTTTTCCGGTGGCTCTTTTCATTGCGGTGATTTTCACTTGCTTGGCATACTTGTTCCCACTTTTTGCTGTAATTGGTTCTGTCTCTGTGGATCAAACTAGGTGGGGATCCGGATTTCATGCTGAGGCTGCTGAAATAATTGCTGGAAAATGGTTGAAATATTGGATTTTAGTTGGTGCGGCGTTATCAGGAATTGGTCTTTTCGAAGCCCAATTAAGCAGCAGTGCGTACCAAGTTCTTGGAATGGCAGATTTAGGCTTCTTGCCTAAGTTTTGCGCGGTTCGGTCAAAAAAGTTTAATACCCCATGGGTCGGAATTCTGATTTCCACCATGATCACTCTTGCAGTCTCCTACATGACCTTCACAGATATAATTTCATCTGCAAATTTCTTGTATAGTTTGGGCATGCTATTGGAATTTGCATCCTTTATTTGGTTAAGAAGGAAGTTGCCGGCATTGAAGAGGCCCTATCGAGTTCCACTGAAGCTGCCAGGTTTGGTGGTCATGTGCTTGATTCCATCTGTGTTTTTGATCTTTGTGATGGCTATTGCTACCAAGACTGTGTATTTGATTAGTGGTGTGATGACTTTGGGTGGGATTGGATGGTATTATTTGATGAAATTTTGCAAGTCTAAGAAGTTGTTCAAGTTCAGTGTTATTGAAATTGAAGAAGGCCGACAATGACAAATTGTTTGGTTAGTTTGTGAAATATATCTAGTATCATTGTATTGGGAAAGCTGAATCCCTTTTTTGGTGAATTTTACGTAGTGGTTCTTGGTACTGTGCTGGTTTGAGAATGCATGGTTGAATCTTTAAGTTGAGACTCGCTTGATCAGCGCAGAATTTGTATGAGTTCAGACAGTTCAATGCTAATGAAATTTAAGAAGAATGCTGAATTACATGAACAGAGGATGGCTAACTATCGATGCCACAGTTCACACACACACAATCTTTACATGCATGATGCTGTCTTTAAATCATACACAATTTGCACTTTCACCTGCTACTTTGTTTAGTCCTTAGCACAAAGATATAATTAACATTGTAGTCGTCTAACATGCAGAAAGGCTCTGTCTTTGTACTATTTTAATTTCATGGCATGTTTACATATCAGTAATGGGTATCGGAATCATTCCAATTCATTCTTCAATATCAAAATTTAGCAAAGAAGAAAAGTCATATATTAATTTTTGTAAGAAATCAAGAATTGATTGAAAGATGACTTTCGATTGAAGTTTACCTTGTACAGCTGATTTTACTTGGTCAGCACTTCCTTTCCTTTTTATCTGTGTAATTACCTTAGATCTAGGATCTAGAGATTCTTTCCTTATTGTAAATCTTAAGGATTGTAATATTTTTGTCAACTTTGTAGAACGAATCAATGCAGAAAATATGGTGAATACTTTGTTATATTTTTCCGTAAAAAAAACTGCAATACACCAATTTCTGAGCAAGACCAATTAGATCCCCTCACAATCATAAACAGCCTAAGCTCTTTCCTCATTGTCCAATTTTTCTTCTTCCATTTTGAAATCAAACCACGTCTTTGATTTGCTGAGATTCATGAAAAGGTACCAGGCAACACCAAACAGAGTCATCAATGCACTAACCAAATAAACAGCTTTGGTGGCCACAGCCAACACATAGACCAAAAAACCAGATGGAATCAAGCACATAACCACCAGCCCTGGCAGGCCCATTGGAACTTCAAAAGGTCTTTTCAGAGCTGGAAACTTCACCCTCAACCAAAGAAAAGATGCAAATTCCAATAGCATGCCCAAGCTGTACAAGAAATTGGCAGAAGATATAATGTCTGTGAAATCCAAGTAAGAAACAGAAAGTGCTATGACTGTTGAAATCAGAATTCCTAACCAAGGGGTGTTGAACCATTTGGACCTTGCCCCAAAAATCATTGGTAAAATTCCCAAGTCTGCCATGCCTAAAAGTTGGTATGCACAACTACTTAACTGGGCCTCAAACAGTCCAATAATTGATAAAACTGCACCAATTTCAATCCAGAATTTCAGCCATTTCCCAGCAATCATTTCCCCAGCAGAAGCTAAATACCCATCAACCCAATCTTCTTGGTCAAGTGGAATAGCACCAGTTGCAGCCAGGAGAGGAATTACGTAACCCAAACATGTGAGAATGCCAGCAGAAAAAAGTGCTTTTGGGTATAGCTTTTGGGGTTCTTCTACTTCACCAGCTAGAGTACTAGCATTGTCCCAAAAATTCAAGTTCCAAAATAGGGTATTGATAAATAATGTCCAATCTTTTTTAACACCCTTCTGACCCAAACTGATCCATCTGCTTGGATCAATCTTGGGGATTGCAACCAAAGACATTATTATAAATGGACAAAGTGACACAATCCCTAAACCTACTGCAGTGTAACCAACTATACTCAAACCAGAGTAGTTGAGAAACGATAGCACCAAAGTTGAGACAAATACAGCAACAAAGCGAGGTAAGCCAGAAGAGAAAATGGGAATTACCAGCTTGAGATAGTCTACACAAAGAATTGGATATGAAGCCAAGTTGATGACCCCACTGAGGAATTTCCAAGAGCCCATGAGGGAGCCCCAGAAGGGACCAAAAGCTTGGTGTGCCCAAATGACAAAGCCGCCGTTGCCGGGGTAGGCGGTGGCCAGCTCAGCCGTGACAAGGGCCTCAGGGATGCTCCAAATGAAGGGGAAGATGAGGAAGCCAAGAATGGCAAAGAGAGGACCAGCAGCCCCCACAGCTGATTCTTCACCATAGGGGCCTCCAGAGACTTCAAAGTATATGAGGAAGACAAGTGGAAGAAATGCTAGCTTCTTGGGACTCTTGGTGGTGATTTTAGGTTGTGATTCTGTTTGTTCTTGTTCAATAAGGGATTGGGAGCTTGTGGAAAATTCCGAGGCTCTCATGCTTTGCATTGTTGGATGTCAATCAATAAAATTCATATTCAAGTTGGGGTTTCGCTGGCTTGGCTTTTTGTTGTGCCTGGGGGGACCCAAGATTTTGAAAGTTAGTTGGATAGAATCTGAATTATAGAAGGTCAAGTTACTTCCAGATTTTCAATCTATCTATATATACCGCTTATGAACTTGGTTTGCTCAAATTCAGAGAAAATGAAATGTGAAAAGCTTGTAAGTGGTCCTTACCTTAGGATGGGTGAGAAAAATGAACAAGCAATACAAACGCAAAGCTAACACGAAAATATCTGCATATGTTTCTATCAACAAATCAATAATATCCACACGTTTCATACTTTATATATGTATATTATATAAATCTTTTTCATATAGGTAGTATTATACATGGACATATTAGCATAAGATATTTATTTCTTTTTTCTTCTTTTTAAAAAAATTTATTAATGAGTGCTGTTATTTTTACTCATGTTTTAAAGAGAAACGTGTGCATTTGAAGGGCAATTTTCTATTGTGTTCCATTTGTGCGTAAAAAGAGAAAGTTTAAAGGAATAGAAACAACACATTGGAGACCCAAAAAAGAATGAAAATAATACTACTAAACATGGAATAAATTTGAGTTGATGTTTTTTCCCCAAGTCTTTTAGAAGACATTTTACAAAGAGGTAAGTTGTCTTTAAAATTTTGAAGATATAATAGACGGGGAAATAAGACATAAGATGGAAATAACAACACTCTTATGAATATACCCGAGTTGATTTATTTCACTACTCTTTTAATTATTCATGTGATACATGCTTTTGCCGACAATAACTTTGAATTTGAGGTTTACATCTATACCCCAAAAAGGGTTGATCACAAATAGTAATTGTGATAAATTTCGTTTTAGTACTTTGAAGTTTATCGAGTTTCAACCTTTATTATATGTAGGTTTTTTATGTCTCAACTTGGTACATAGAGTTAAATAGATGACGTAACCGTAATTATGAAAGGAACTACAGTGCTGTGGAGTGATTCTTTCTTGAGAGGGATTCATATCGATAATTATGGAGTTTAGTTAGGTGTGCTAGTTTTGGCTGTCTCTTGAATTTTGGTGGCTACACTTTGTTCACCTTGTGTAATTCAAAATAATAATTATCTAAGCAACTATAGAAAAGTGAATTTAGTTTAATTATGTCAAGATCACACTTTTGGCGGCCAATGATGATGAATCAACAAGTATGGGCATATGATAAGGATATAAAACCATGAACAAGAAGGGTAAGAAAATTGTTGAGGGATTTCAAACAACTAACTTGGAAGTTGGAACTTTTATGGAGATGATTTTCAGACCAAAAAGTACCCAAGTTCAAAGTCCAGGCCTAGACAGAATATATTTCAGCCCAAAGCAACCTTTTGTCTTTTGTCAAACCCACTAGCTAATCCGAGGCCTAATGAGTTCTAGCCCAATAGGTTTATATGAAGCCCACCGAACTGAAGTTTGGGTCAAGCTCTAGGAGTTTAAAAAACTCAAATGGATTTGATTGTTGGTCTGGCAAATTTGAGCACAGAAGCGTTTGTAGTCCAACGGTTAGGATAATTGCCTTCCAAGCAATAGACCCGGGTTCGACTCCCGGCAAACGCAACTTCCTTACCTTTTTTTTTGCCATCGAAATGAATAAACCATAGAAAAATGAACTTTGCTTGCTAGTTATATATACTCAAATGGGGTTGTGATTAGGTGACCAAATATATATAACATGCAACTGTTATGCATATTATGTCATGCACTTCTAATAGAAAATGAAGCAGATGTAGGGCTGTGCCTTGTTAGCCTTCTTTTTTCTTTTCTGGCTTCGGCCTGCCTTGTAACCGAAAAAGAAAAAGAAAAACAAAAAGAGCAGATGCAGTGCGATGGTTTCAACTTATAGTTCAAAGCTCTCTGTTTGGTGCATCTCTATTCCTTGTCAATAGTAAGCTGCTAAACTGATAAAGCTCTCTGTTTATTTTGTTGTTGTTGTTCTTCTTTTGTTGCCTAGGCGCGGCGCCCAAGAAATTTCTGAGGAAGAAGCATAACCAGTACAAGAAGAGAGGCATGGGATGGGATGGGATTGAAAGTAGGCAAGGGTTGTATTGTATCCATGTTTTGAGTTACATCAGAACTTTTGTTGCCACATGAATTTACCAGCTGTTAAAATATGTACTTTGTAATATTATGTGTCAGTGCATGGAAGTTGTGAATCTTGTGATGGATTATAGTTTATAGTACAAACTAACCCTTTCTCACAAGTGACAACAATGTACTGGTACAAGCAATTTCCAAGAAACTAGCATGCACAATACAAACTGCAGAAAGATTGAGTATAATAATTTCATACATTTTGACAGCATTTGCTTCATGCCACATGAACCGAGTTATATAGGCAACTAGCCTTGCAATCCAACCACCACCAACAATCTTGGAACCCAATCACAGAACTCTACACCACCCACATTTGAAAATTTTCCATTAAAACATCCAGGAAATCCCAACACAAGAAAAAGAAAAAGAAAACACCATGAAAGCTGCCAATTCTTCTCCAAATTCAAAAACCATTCTTCCTGAAAATGAAAAACAAGAAGCGGTACAAGAACCTCCAATGTTTAGCACCACCAAGATCAAAAGCAAAACACTATCATTCATCCCTTTAGTTTTCCTAATTTACTTTCAAGTCTCTGGTGGCCCTTATGGCACAGAGTCCATTGTTGGCTCTGGGGGGCCTTTCTTTGCCATCCTTGGTTTTCTACTCTTCCCAGTCATTTGGAGCATCCCCGAGGCCCTTGTCACTGCTGAGCTGGCCACCGCCTTTCCCGGCAATGGTGGCTTTGTCATATGGACTCACCAAGCCTTCGGTCCCTTCTGGGGCTTCCTTGTTGGTTTCTGGAAGTTTCTTAGTGCTGTCATAAACTTGTCTTCCTACCCAGTTCTCTGTATAGACTACATTGATCCAATACTGCCAGCTTCCTTCTCACACTTGCCTCACTATTTACTTATCTCTGTTTCAACCATGTTGCTCTCTGTTCTCAACTTCATTGGTTTGCCTACTGTAGGCTATGCTGCAATATCTTTGGGGGTTTTGTCATACTTGCCATTCTTAGTAATTTCTGTTTTTGCAATTCCCCAGATTGATCCTAGCAATTGGGCTGTTTTAGGCCAGAAGGGTAGGAAAAAAGAATGGCCATTGTTCTTCAATTCCCTGTTTTGGAACTTGAATTGTTGGGACAATGTAAGTACTTTAGTTGTAGAGGGTGTTAAGAAACCCTCCAAGACATTACCAAAAGCATTTCTCTCAGCTGGGTTGTTGACTTGCTTGACTTCTTTGATACCTATGCTAGCTGCAACTGGGGCTATGTCCCTTGACCTAGATGACTGGGTTGATGGGTTTTACACAGTTGTTGCAGAAAAAATTGTGGGGAAAAGGTTCAAAAAATGGGTTAGGATGGGAGCCTTTTTATCTGGCATTGGTGTGTATCAGTCCCAGTTGAGCAGCTGTTCATACCAGCTTTCTGGCATGGCTGAATTAGGATTGTTACCGAAACTTTTCGGTGTGCGGTCCAAACGGTTCAATACACCCTGGTTGGGAATTATGATCCCAACAGTGATATCAGTCCTGGTTTCTTACATGAATTTCAGGCATGTCACATCCTTGGTGAATGTTTTAAACAGTCTGAGCATGCTAGTCGAATTGTCGGCTTTTATTTGGTTGAGGTTGAAGTTTCCAGGTGTGGAGAGGCCCTTTAAAATTCCAATTACCAAGCTGAGGTGGTTGATAGCAGCGTTGTTCATTCCGTTTGGGTTTTTGGTGTACGTAATTTGTGTTGGCACAAAAATTGTATACTTGGTGATTACTGTGCTGACTGCGGTTGGGATCATTTGGTACTTCTGCATGAAGATTTTTCAAGCTGCAATGTGGCTTGACTTCAACCATGTTGTGAAAAAGCTAGCAGATTATGAAGACTTTGGGGGGTAAGTTGATTGTATTGGACTTGTTTGTAAACCTCTTCATGATGATGATTTGCATGCAAAAGTACTGACTCTTATCTTTTCTTCTTCTTTTTGGGTGTTGCTGCAGCTATTATGAACGAATTCTGAAATGAGGTCGTTTTCAGTCACATCCATATTTTGCAATTGTTATTGTGAAGAAGTGATCAAATCAAATGTTTATTTGATTTGATGGATCAAACGTGGCTGGCTGGATGTACATTTTAGTGAAGTTGTAAAAGTTTGACGTGGTAGTATTATTCCTTGTTCCTATGCATAAGCTATCAGAAAAATAATGTAAGACGCATTTTTATTTTATGAGTAAGATCAATGATTACGTATCCATAATTATTTGATGTTGGGGTCAACTGTGCTGGAGTGGAATAAATAATTCCTATAAGCATCTGTAGCTAATAGGTTTACCACAACTTGAGTAGAGGCTTTCAAAAAGTTTATATCTAAAGCCACTCAAATTTGACTCATTCATTCTAAACAATATTAATCCATTATTATTTGTGTCGATTAGACTTGAGAATACTTATTTTAGTTTGATTGATTTGCCAAATTAACTAATGGCATCGTTTGTCAGAAAAACGTTGAGGAATACAAATACTGCGGAACACAAACATTGAAGATTTGAACCTAAGACTTTGAACTCCATAAATATGTATTGCCCACAAAAGGAAATCCTCTACTTGAATTCTTTATGAGGTTGATGGTCAAGGTGTTTGTCAGTAAAATTAAGTGACAACACAAATGAAGTCAAACACAAGTATTCTTGAAACGAAGCCTCTAAATGAAACTAAAAACTCATGAGATCTACCAACGGGATCTACTCCATTTGAAAAGGGCATTGATTTGTAAACAAGAGATCTCAAGTTTGAATCCCCATGGTATCTCAATTATGTGGGTGTGTGAGAAATCTCATCCCATGTAGGTTACTTACTTTTGCAATGGAGATAACATTGTTTTGCTATTTCCGACCAATAACACAATGACACGTGGAAAAGTTATCATACATGTCATTGCGTTATTGGTCAGGGATAGCAAAAGGCGATATCCACATTGCATGAGAATTTCTCTCGTAATTTAGACTATCTCTTGTACTAAAAAAACACTCATGAAATCTTTTCACAAGCATATAGACAGTTACTCCACGATACTTTTTAAAAACAAGAGTGGATGAGACTAACAAACCTAATCTTAAAAGCACATATTTCCTTTAGTTAATGAGCCCACACAAATCCAATTCACCATAAGCGTAACAAAAAAAATCCTATTAAAACTTCAATTTCAATAACCAAATCATATCAACCTGTTGTTGAGCCTCAAGTCTCTCTCACCAATACATATAAAATCACCCCTCAAATTCTAGCCGTTCTCTCCCTCTTTTGAGTTCTAAAGGAAAATTTCATAGAGAGGGGAGGACGAAGAAGCGTCAATGCCTATCATTTCCCTCTTCTCTTCTTGTTTTTTTTCTTTTAGGTTAGTGAATAATTCCATTGGGGCATTTTGAATCAAAAGGCTCTGGTGGTTTTTTTTTTTTTTTTTTTTTTTTTTTTTTTTTTTTTTTTTTTTTTTCTAAATATGGTTAAAGTTTTCCATCACTAATTTATGTTCTCAATCAAATTTTCCTAACTCCCAAATCCCCCTCCCTTAACGCCTCTTATCTTTCTCTAAATTTGATTCTACACTGTCTTTGATGAAGGTTACTGCAAATCACCTAATTGTTCTTTGGTAAGGTTGTTGTTTTTGTTTATTTGTTCGCTCTTATGTGTAGGTAGATCGTTGAAAAATCATATTTTCCCCAAATTTGTTACGGATGCCGTGGTAAATCATATTTTCCCCAGATTTGTTACAGATGCGGTGGTGGGTGTGGCCACAACGACGCTTCTTCAGGTGGTGGTGGTAGGATTTGTTTAGGCTCATGAGTTATTTTAGGGTTTTGGTTATGTTGGATTTGTGGGCTTTGGTTGTTTGAGCTTCTGGCTAATTGTGGTGATGTGGGCTAGTAGTTTTAGTATGGCTTTTGTCCGTGTTAGTTTTGCTTTCAACATGTTAGTTTGTTGCTATTTTAGAATTGGTATTTTAGATGTTTTGTTGATGTCTTTAATTGTACCGTTGAAGTTTATCTAATGAAGTAACTATTTGATTATATTTTAAAAAAAAAGGTCTCTCTCACCAAATTGGCTTGGAAATTAATCCAAGATTCAACTGAGTAACTAATAATAACTAGCAAGGTGACACCAAATTCAAACTCATCATCCTCTTATCCTCATCTCCTCATAAAAAAAAAATATCTTGAATTATTGATTGAATTCTATACACAACAGCAAAAAGACATTTATCCACTTATCCGCCACGTGGCAAGCCAGTTTTAGCCTGATAACATCAGGACCGCCTGTGACATGCCATGTGTGAAAAGGGACCCACCTCCTGTCATGTCCAATTTCCATTGAACTGGATTGAATCATAAATCATTCATCCCCATGTGTGTACAGTTGTCCATTGAATTTGATTTGTATTATGCGTTGCCCCCTCCTTTTTGGCCTCATCCAACCCCTCCTTTCTTTTTCTTCTTTTCTTCTTTTCTTCTTTTCTTCTTTTCTTCTTTTCTTCTAAGTCACTGAGCCTTATCCATCCTATAATCTTCTATTTTTTTTATCGACTAGTCAAAAACCATCTATCCCTTATTGTGAGCCCACCGCCAGATTTTAATAATATATTTTTCTTTTGGAAGAAAAATGAAAAAAAAATCGCCTTCCAATCCGAAACAGGATTTTTTTCCCGACATCCCCAGTGCAATATTGTCCCAAACATACAGTTTTTTTTTTTGGTCCAAAAAAACATACAGTTTTTTCATCCTACCTGTATATCTATAAATAGTCAACTGCCCAAACTTCATGGCCTACACCGGCAAAGGCTAACACACTCACTCACCCAAAAAAAAAACTAGTTTGCTGCAAAAGTTACATCTTTGCTTTCCTGCAAAGATTGCATCTTTGCTCTGCTTCAAAGTTCACTTCTTTGCTAACATGTGGAGTCTTAAGTTGACTCAATTGCTTCCCGGTCTGCCTGAAGAACTCGGGCTCGAATGCTTAACTAGGTTGCCTTACTCAGCGCACCCAGTTGCTTCCCAGGTCTGTCGTCCATGGCGGACGCTATTAGAAAGTCAACAATTTTATCATCACAGGAAGAAAAATGGCCACACCCATAAAGTCGCATGCTTGGTTCAAGCTCTTCCTCATGAGCCCGTCGTATCAGAATCAGACGGACCCAAATCCAACGACTCTCCCAGTTACGGGATCGCCGTGTTTGACCCGGTGAGTTGCTCTTGGCAGAGGGTCGACCCGGTGCCCAAGTACCCAAATGGGTTGCCTTTGTTTTGTCAACTGGCGAGCTGCGAAGGGAAGCTTGTGGCGATGGGCGGATGGGACCCGGCGAGCTACGACCCGGTCACCGACGTGTTTGTGTACGATTTCACAAATTCTCAATGGAGAAAGGGCAACGACATGCCGTCCAAGCGTTCCTTCTTTGCAATCGGGTCTTACTCGGGTCGGGTCTACGTGGCGGGTGGGCACGACGAGAACAAGAACGCGTTGAAATCAGCGTGGGTTTATGATTTGAGACTGGACGAGTGGACTGAGTTGACTCAGATGAGTCAGGAGCGAGACGAGTGTCAGGGGGTGGTGATTGGGGACGAGTTTTGGGTGGTGAGCGGGTACGGCACGGAGAGCCAAGGGGTGTTTGAGGGAGGCGCTGAGGCGTTGGATTTCGGGTCGGGTCGGTGGAGGCGGGTGGACGGAGCGTGGGAGGTGGGCCAGTGCCCAAGGCAATGCGTTGGGGTTGGGAGAGATGGAAAATTGACGAGTTGGACTGAGTTGGACTCGGCGGTCCGAGTTGGAACGTGCGGAGTGACGGTGGGGGGTGGGACCCTGGTGATGGGGTCGGAGTACCAAGGGGCGAAGCAAGGGTTCTATATGGTGGAGGAAATGAAGGGAGGGCAAAATGGTAAATTGGAGAGGATTAGTGTACCTGATGAGTTTTCTGGGTTTGTTCAATCGGGTTGCTGCGTTGAGATTTGAATTTTTAATAGGACATGCGTGACATGAGTATATGTATGTATGATTTTGGGTTCAATTATTTTGAACGGAATGGGTACATATAGTTTTGTATCTTATTTTTCTGTCTTATGACTATAGATACCCGCATGACGCAAGCGGCTTGTAGCCGGGGTCGGTCCATTAATTTTGGAGGACTTGTATAGAAATAAAAATTGAGACCTTTTATGTTCAATATTTACTTATTTTGAAATTAAAATTAAAATTTCAAACTTAAGTTTGTTAGGCCATCTCTAGTTATAGGGTTAAATGTAGTACATAACTAAAAATTTAGCCCTTCAAAATATTAATTTTTTAAAGAATAGTGCATGGTTAAATATTTCTATCTCCAGCCATCCATTACTATATTTTAGGGCCCTTCATATTTTATTATTTTGAGAAAAACTATATGGTACAACACTCATATATAATTATTTAATTTAATTAAACTACGATTTAGAGACAATATTTTTTAATAAATATATTTTAAACAAAATGAATTTAAAACATTTAAAAAGGTTTTAAAGAAAATAAAATAATAATAACTTTTCAATCAATGGTTCTTATCTCTAACGATCAGAAACCAATTATATATATATATATATATAAACAAAATGAATTTAAAATTTTAAAAGGTTATTAAAAATATAAATAAAAACCTAACGGCTAGTTGACGTCATTGATGATGTCAACGCACCCAATGGCGGACCTATGAATTTTTTAGCGGAGGTGCAATTTTGAAATGCTAAAAACTCTTTGTAGATTGAACATCTAAGGTTTTTACCTACCTTAGGTCACTTCATACATTCATATCATACATGAAAAATTGTTTTAAGTAAAAATATTTACTAAGTATGAAAAATGGTTTTTCGGAATAATCATTTTCTCAAGATAATTTTTGAAGGCTTTTATTCCTTACACATTAAATAAGAAAACTTGATTTTATGAGATTTTAGTATAAAGTATATATTGACTTAACGAGCCATCATTTTTAGCTTAAATCGTATTTTGCACTAAAAACGATTTTTCATATTTTGATTTGGTGGGAATTGATTTTCTAGTATTTTTATTTGAATCCAAATGGGGGGTACTTCCTTATTTACATTGTAAACTTAAGTAAATGAAGTAATATAAAAATAAATGAAAGTAAAAGGACAAAGACATTTACTTAAATGTTGAAAATAGAAATAAGGTAATCTGTATATCAGTTGAACAAATGGGCAATTTGAAGTACTTACAATGGTTTTTCCTATGAGGGGAGGTGTAGCTGCACCTTCTTGCTCCTTAGTAGGTCCTCCATAGAACGCACCTTTAATATTGGCTGTTGGATCTATAGTTGCATGAGATGTTTCATACTCTTGCCCACACTTGATACTTTCTCCTTTTGAAAAATACATGAAATTTGGCCTAAGCCAAAGTTGGGCTACATTTGGCCTAGTTTGAGGGCTAAAGGGCCAAATGTGGCTCTCCAAATTTAGCAAAAAAAATTTAGCCCATGGCTAGAAATGGGTTTTGCATTATTTTAGGGTTATATTTGGCTTATAGCCCATGACTCGAGATGACCTTAGTTTATGTAAAAAAAAGCCCACTACATGAAAAGTAAAGAAAAAGACTCACAAAAATTTAGAATAAAGCCTAAAATGTATCAGTTACGCACATAAAAGGCATTTGTGCTATTATATCTTTTGGACTAAAAGGTGTTACAGGAGGGCTCATTTTTTTAGGGGCCTTGTGCCATCGCCTAGCGAGCACAATCTGTGGACCGAACTTGCTTATACCTCAAATCAAATGTTTAAGAGCAATTACATCTGATATCTTATGTTTGAATTCCCCTTCTAATTTCGCTTTTATCAACAAAAAGAAAAACCACATGACACATGAAACTCATATTTGGACACCATGCCCCTTCGTTTGAGTGAATAGGCACTTGGACAAAGTCTTAATATGTTATGCAACAAAACGAATGGTGTTATGATTAACTTGAGCAATCGAATTTAAAAAAATCAGTTGACTTGAGATTTGAAGTAGTGAACGCTCTATTATTAGTCATACTCACGTATGGCCGACCTGTATAACTGTGTTGGCATGGCATTGCATGGCGACAAAGCAATCGCCTTATTACAGGTAGAGTAGAGAGGTAGTGATTTTAGCATTCTTTTGTTTTCAACAACATGCACTTACTTATAAAGGACGATGAGTTTACTCACCTTCAGAGTCGGTCCATTGATTTTGGAGGCCCTGTGCAAATATGGATGTTGGGGCCCTATATATACAAGTAGGAAAAAAAAATCCATGTAGAAACAAAAATTTCTGACACGGGAAGAACACATTAGGAAAGAGCTTCCTAGAAAAATTTCTTTAGTCACCCTTCCAAATCATAGAGTTGATAAATTGATTTTCCAATTTCAATGCTTCGTGAATTCTTATGTGAATAAGGGAGGGAGAAAAGAACTGTGATTTTGGAGAAAAGGATAAAGCTTGGGTTTTTACAATCCAAAATTTGATGGAAGAGGGTGGTACACTGGTACTGAAGGGAAATGACTTTATTTTGATGGAGGAGAGTGAGAAAGACTTATTGAAAGAGAAAAGAATAATTAGAATGGTTTTGCAGCTTGAGAGTTGGGAAGAGGAAAACACAGGTTTCAAACCATAATAATAAATAAAAAGAAGAGTTGCAGCGTGAGAGTTGGGCAGAGGAAAATGAACTAAATTTTAGGGGCCCTGTACGGTCGCACACATCGCACACCCCATGGGCCGCCTCTGCTCACCTTATCCATCAGCGACTCTATTCATAAGATATGTGCAACTGCACAAGGCCGCACCAAAATTTTCGTTTGTGTGTAAATAATGTTTTTGTTTTACTTCTCTTTATTATTCATAAACTTTTGGTCTAACTCATTAAAAAAAGGTATTGACTTGCATATCAGTGTTCTCAAATTCAAACTTCTTATAGCACCTTGCCATTGTGTGTGAGAAAACCCCGCTCTCCTTGCTAACTTCGGGGAGAAAAAATGGAAAAGGAGATGGATGGATATATCTTCACTTGTAGTTTTTGGATGACGGTGGCAAGCAAGTTTAAGGGAATGGGGTTCTAAATACACTTTGGGCCAAGTGAGGGTCAAATTCAGCCCGAAGAATACCTTGAAAGCCCATGCATTGGCCCAGCGGTTTGGTCTTTCAGCACAATATCATCAGGATGAAGGGCAAAATACCAAATTTGCAGGGCTTTTGAAGTCTCAATACTCATCCATTTTGTTGATCGATTGGATTATTATACTAAATTTAATTAATGTACAACTAAGAACTTATTTAGGTAACAGAAAGCTAAAAACAAAATTTCCCAAATCTTAATCCATATACAAAAATACAATGCATATGTGTACTTTTGAAATATATATTTTCTTAAACTAAACTTGAAAATAGATATAATAATCTCCACTAAAAATATGTGTAATTATGTAGGAGGACAATTCATCATACATTAAAGGCTTAAGTGCTACAATGCCCCCTGAAATATTGGTCAATTCCCATTCAACCCCCTCAAAGTTAAAGTGACTCACTTTGCCCCATTGACCGATGTTTTGTGTCTCACTTTGCCCCTCACCGTCAAGTCTGTTAAAAATTCCGTTAAAAATGCTGATGTGGCACCAATAGGACCCACTATTTTGCTAAACTAAGTGCCATGTGTGAAAAAAAAATTAAAAATTAAAAATTGTCTTTTAAAAAAACTTAATTTCTGTCAATATTTTTTAAACTTTTGTTAGTTGAAGGGGTAATTCAGTCTATAAATTATTTAAAAATTCATTCATTTTAAAAATAAAATCAATTAAAAAAAAAAAAAAAAAAAAAAAAAAAAACAAAAAAAAAAAAACCAAAACCAAAACCAACCCCATTCCAACCTTCCCAACGACCCAAAAATTAAAAACAAAAAAAAACAAGAACAATAACAAATATATCTTAAAAAATAAATAACAAAAAATTGAAAAAAAGTAAAAACAAGAACAATATCAAACCAAACCCAGAGAACGCCACGCCCAGAGAATAACAAATATATCTTCAAATTGAATTTCTCTTGAAAAATTCAATATGCTCATAAACAAAATATGTTGAAAGCCATGCCTTAGAAAAGGAAAACCAAACGTTTTATGCAAGGCAGGTTCTCTTACTCGAGAGAAACTCACGGGACCACAATTTCTATTCAACAATGACTCACAAACCTATTCAACTATCACTACCAATCATGAAGCAATATGGTCTCTTTATTAAGACAACAAACAGAAGATAACCTATTATCTAATGATGAATATGAATTGTGATTCAATATGAACTCTTAAGTGATGACATATCAATATCCACTTTTATGAAGAAACATTCATCTCCTAAAACAAGTTAATTAGGAGATGAGCATGGTGCACGTCACTATAGGAAACACTAACCTTTTAACTTAAATCACAATGACATTGAAAATAACTTCACCTATAAATCTTATAGTGAACGCATGGTTATGTCATGATTATTACCAGAAGTCAAGTTTCTCATATTGGTCAAGTCATGCCTCGGAAGTATATGATTGAATAAGTTGTGCCAAAACGTCCAGTAACAATTCTTGACATACTAATTTTCAATTTATGCTAAAGTCTAGAAAATGCAAATACAATTTTCGTACTAACACATTCCTTGCTAGAATTTAATACCAAAATTTCGTTAATGTCTTTCGTTTTGATAGTCTCATAAACTTAGGTGTTGTGTTTGATTAATGATGCACGTCACATCATGTAGAGGTTTGACAAGACAAAATAAATGCAGGACATGAAAATCTTATGTGACGCAATTTTAATAAATAAAGTATAGTATTTGTATATACGATAACATGAAGCACCCGCGATCACCTACCCCTAAACCTAGGAATAACTTCTCCATAACACACCACCCCCCAAAACACCCCGAAGCTCAGATTTCGTCAATGTGGCCCACTGAATGATGCATGCATGTACTGACATCCAGTCCCAAACCCTAAAAAGCATGCTAATTGCTACCCGAGTTGGTGATTAATTGTTAATTAAATAGTTAATAACACAACTCACGTATAAATAAGCTCTGTTGCCACTTTACTAGATCACAGAATCTTCTTCAACCTTTTCCTCAACCTCCATTATACTATTTGCAGGCCAATCGCAAAATCATATACAAGAGAAAAAATGGCTCCAACCATGACCAGTCCGTCAGGCATGACCAGTCCTTCAGGCATCACCAACTTTGTTATAAACAAAGGCAATGGAGTTAAGGGACTTTCAGAAATGGGTCTCAAAAGACTTCCAAAGCAATATATCCAGCCCCTTGAAGAGAGAATTAGCACTGCGAGTTTTGGGATCAAAAACTCCGAAGAGTCTGTTCCCATCATCGACATGTCAAACTGGGACGACCCGAAAGTTGCAGAAGCTATTTGCAGTGCAGCAGAGAAGTGGGGGTTTTTTTCAACTTGTCAACCATGGGGTGCCCATTGAAGTGCTTGAGAATGTGAAGGAGGCAACTCATCGCTTCTTTGAGTTGCCAGCTGAGGAGAAGAGTAAGAATTCGAAAGAGCATTTGTGTTCGAACAACGTCCGGTTTGGGACGAGCTTTAGCCCTCAAGCAGAGAAGGCTTTGGAGTGGAAAGATTACCTTAGTCTCTTCTATGTTTCTGAGGATGAGGCCTCTGCACTTTGGCCTCCTGCCTGCAAGTAAGCTTCACTTACTATTAATGTCTACTCTGTATATACATAATAAAAACTATTTGTAGCACATTAATATTGCACATTAATTTGTATTGACTAATAATTATATGCATGTATATATATGTTTGCAGGGATGAAGTGCTTGAATACATGAAGAAATCCGAAATTCTCATAAAACGACTCCTAGAGATGTTAATGAAGAGACTAAATGTGAAAGAAATAGACCAAGAAAAAGAAGGTCTTCTAATGGGATCCATGCGGATTAACCTCAACTACTACCCCATTTGCCCAAACCCTGAGCTCACAGTTGGAGTTGGCCGCCACTCCGACGTCTCAACACTCACCGTCCTCCTTCAAGACCAGATTGGCGGGCTTTACGTGCGCGGGGGCACCGACAAGAAGAGTTGGATTCATGTCCCTCCGGTGAAGGGGTCGTTGGTGATCAACATTGGTGATGCACTTCAAATCATGAGCAACGGACGATACAAGAGCATCGAGCATCGAGTGGCTGCGAATGGAAGTAAGAACAGGATTTCAGTCCCTATATTTGTCAACCCGAGGCCGTCGGATTTGATCTCTCCACTGCCGGAAGTGCTTGCAAATGGGGAGAAAGCAGTGTATAAGCAAGTTCTGTATTCTGATTATGTCAAGCATTTCTTCCGCAAGGCTCATGATGGGAAGAGTACGATTGAGTTTGCCAAAATTTGAAGTTTTACTTTATATGCACTATATGGGAAAGCTATGTTGTGTGAATAAGCTTAGTGATCAAGGTCTTAGAAATAAAAATGTTTGTACCACACAGGAGTGGCTCATGTGAAAATGTGATGTGATGAATAATGTGATTATCGCATTATGTAAATGCATATTTACTTTCAGATAAATTAATTTTATTATATTTGGGAGTTGTTTGATACTCCAACAAAGTCATTACATACTCACAAGAGGGAAATTGCACTTTGAGAAGTGCATGATAATTTTTTGACGAATTGCTGTAATATATAAACTAACGGCCGAATTAGTAATATTGACGTGACAGTGATAGTAATAAACACAAAAAAAAAACAAAAGAGTTACTACTACTTTAGGTGAACCACTAAGAGCACTTCCACCCATAAGGGCTAAGTCTAAGGCAAGAGCAAGCAAGGGCTGCCATTATTCACGTGAATAGTGTCAGCCTTGCTATTTGTGGTTCCACCCATGAGGGCAAAGTCTAGGACAAGTCTAAGGCAAATACTATTCATTGTACTTTATTTTCTATTTTTTTTATACTTTAAACCATTAATTTTGATAATCTTTTGTAATTAAATTTTTGGATAAAAAATATTGGATGTAGAAGAATTGTATGAAGATTTGGTGTGGAAAGTGAATAATGTGAGTGGAGAGTAAAAAATATTGGATGGAGAAGAATTGTATGAAGATTTGGTGTGGAAAGTAAATAAAATGGTTAGGTATTTTATAGGGAAAAAATAAAGAATTTTTTGGTATTTTTTTAAAAAAATTTCAGAATTTTTTCGAATTTTTTAAACAAAAAAAGAGGACCGTTGGATTTTTGAAAAAAAAATGATCGGAGCGTCCCTGTCGCGACACGTGGCACAACGGTAAAAAAAATTGAATTTCCGTACGATGACATCAGCATGACGTCAGCGCTGATGTCACAAAACTCGGGCTGAAGCCCAGACAGAATTTGCCCTTGGGCCTGCCCGGGCTGGTGGGATCCAGCAGTTGGCCGGGCTCTTTCTCTCACGCTAGAGCGCATCTGGGCTCACCTGGGGGCCCTTGCCCCTGGTTTGGGGTGAGCGGTGGACATGCTCTAACATGGCTATGTAGCTGGGCTAAAAGGGATGGGCGTCTGACATGAACAGTCCGCTGTTGGAGTACTTGCAAGAGTAGGGAGAAAGCAATCTAATATTTTGATTATGTCAAGCATTTCATGGGAAAGGCAGGGGCTCATGATGGGAAGAGTACGATTTTTGTTGATTAGCTAGATAGCTAGTTTTGTTGCCTAGTTTCCTAGCTTTTCTAGCTTAGGATTTTAGGTAGCTCTTGGCTCCCTAAGAGCATTTCCAGCAAGGTTGGCCCGAGCTTCAGCCCGAGTTTTACCATGACGTCAGCGCTACAGTGCCATAGTGTACAGCGCTACAGTGCCGTTACAGTTCACGTGTCACACTCTGGGCTCTCCGATTAGATTTTTTTTCTCCAATCCAACGGCAGCAAATTTTTGTGCAATAAAAAAATACAAATTTATAAATAAACCAAATCCTAGATATGTATTTATAAAAAAACTCAAGTACTATTTAAACATAGAAACACACCCAAAATCAACAATTGTATATTTTTTGGGTGTGTTTATAAATGGATTTTGAGTGTGTGTAATGATGGGTTTTGGGTGTGTTTATAAAGTGTTTTGGATGTTGGGTTTTTTTTTTTGTAATTTCAGCCCCCATTTTGGGTGTTTTAGTGAAACTCAAAAAAAAAAAAAAAAAAATTAAAAAAAAAAATTTCGAATAAAAAAAACAAAAAAAAAAAAAAATTTTTTTTTTTTACCAATACTCTTCACTTTTTCGTCTCCTTCTACTATTATTCACTTTATACTCAATTTTTTTTCACTTTCAAGTTTATTTTTCTCTATCATATTATGGCTTCCTCTATTGAAACCGGAGGGGCATGGAGCATGATATCTTATCTGAAAATTTATCTGAAATTTGAATTTTGAAATTCATCTAAAATTTGAACTCAAAAATCTTATCCGGAAAATTTATTTGATTATGAGATATGAATAGTCTTGACACGTAGGAATCCGAAAATCTTATCCAAAAATATTATCCAAATTAATTATTGAGGTAAAAAAATTTGTGAAAAAAACAAAAAACTGAATAGTAATTGCCCTTTGTCATGGCAATGGGTGGAAACACACAATGTTTTTTGTAAGGGCAACCACTATTCACACGAATAGTGGCTGCCCTAGCCCCTCTTTCTATGACAAATGGCAAATGGCAAATGGGTGAAGTTGCTCTAATAGTTTGGGAGTTCTTTTTGTTGGACTCATTATTGCATTGCAATTTGCATGCGTATTTAGAGGCATCTTTGCCGACATGACCAGACCGACCACCTTGGTCTCTTTTACTAAAACAACAAGTGTGCGGCTTCATCTAGAATATTCTATACTGTACAATATCATTTTTGTGGCTATTGTATGTTTAGCCATCATGCTTCACCGTACGCGTCATAGTCTAGCAACATGAGCGTCCGTGAGTTTTCTAGAATTGTGTACGTACACAAATATGCATTGCTTTTTCAACAAGACTATTTAGAGGCCAATCCCAAAATTATACCAGAGAAAAAATGGCTTCAACCATGACCAGCCCTTCAAGTATCATCGACTTTGTTATAAACAAAGGCAATGGAGTTAAGGGTCTTTCAGATTTGGGTCTCAAAAGCCTTCCAAAGCAATATATCCAGCCCCTTGAAGAGAGAATTAGCACTGCGAGTTTTGGGATCAAAAACTCCGAAGAGTCTGTTCCCATCATCGACATGTCAAACTGGGACGACCCGAAAGTTGCAGAAGCTATTTGCAGTGCAGCAGAGAAGTGGGGGTTTTTTCAACTTGTCAACCATGGGGTGCCCATTGAAGTGCTTGAGAATGTGAAGGAGGCAACTCATCGCTTCTTTGAGTTGCCAGCTGAGGAGAAGAGTAAGAATTCGAAAGAGCGTTCGTGTTCGAACAACGTCCGGTTTGGGACGAGCTTTAGCCCTCAAGCAGAGAAGGCTTTGGAGTGGAAAGATTACCTTAGTCTCTTCTATGTTTCTGAGGATGAGGCCTCTGCACTTTGGCCTCCTGCTTGCAAGTAAGCTTCACTTACTATTAGGGGTTGTTTGGTACACAGGCTTAGCTTGGCCTGGCTTAGACTAAATTTAATACCATGTTTGTTTCATTTAATTCTAGTCTTAGATGAGATTGCTAATATCAGGCCCACCAAAAACACCTCATTATGAGGGGACTACTAAGCCCATGTAGAAAGGGAGGATTAAGTAGTCTTATGTTCCATTGGCGGATCCATTTTTAGCGGAGGTGCAATTTTGAAAGGCTAAAAACTCTTTGTGGATTGAACATCTAAGACTTTTTATCTAGATTGACCTTAGGTCCCTTAATGCATTCATATCATACATGAAAAATTGTTCTATGTAAAAATATTGACTAAGTATGAAAAATGGTTTTTTGGAATAATCATTTTCTCAAGATAATTTTTGACGGCTTTTATTCCTTACACATCAAATAAGAAAACTTGATTTTATGAGATTTTATTATGAAGTATATATTGACTTAATGAGCTATCATTTTTAGCCTAAATCGTATTTTGCACTAAAACCGATTTTTCAAATTTTGATTTGGGGGGAATTTGATTTTCTAGTATTTTTATTTGAATCCAAATGGGGGGTACTTCCTATTTACATTGTAAACTTAAGTAAATGGAGTAATATAAAAATAAATTAAAGTAAAAAGACAAAGACATTTATTTTTTCAAAAATATCTATATATATACATATATATGTATATATATTTATATTATTATAATATACATGTATACATGTATATACACATATATATTATATGTATGTATATATACATATATTATATATCAGAGAGCTTCCATTGAGGGATCCCTCAAATATGCTTATTTGAGGGACACCCCTTGTAGGCCCCACTATGGATTGTATTTCACTAATCCAAACCGTCTATTTTGTAGATACTCATTCAAAGATTATCTCTACAAAAAATCACTTGAATCCGATATCATTTGACCACTCAATTGAGTTATTGAAATTTTAGTACTTTCTTGAAGCACCGTGTTCATTGATTTTGTAAGACACAATTGGATGTCGAAACGGTTTCCGATTTGTCTAATTTTTTGTAAGGATGATCTATGAATGAAGACCTAAAAAGTATATGGTTTGGATCGTTGGAAAAAAAATTGTAGGATACCCTAAATGGCGTCCCTCAAATAAAATTATTTGAGGGATCCCTCAATAGAAGGGGACTGATTATATATATATATATATATTATAAAATACATATATACATATATATATATGTATATATATATAGATATTTTTGAAAAAATAAAAAAAATCTAGTCTTAGTCCAAACATACACCAAACGCAGGATAAATGTTATCCAACTTAGACCAAACCAAGATAGTCCCGTGTAACAAACGAGCCCTTAATGTCTACTTTGTATATGCATGTATATCCTATTAATGTTATCATACTAATGATATCCGACATGGTAGGTAGCATGATGATTGGATAGGACGGTTCTATTTTGTAACTCACATGTTAATTATGTACTTAATTTGAATTGACTAATAATTATATGCATATATATATATATATATATATATATGTTTGTAGGGATGAAGTGCTTGAATACATGAAGAAATCCGAAATTCTCATAAAACGGCTCCTAGATATGCTAATGAAGAGACTAAATGTGAAAGAAATAGACCAAGAAAAAGAAGGTCTTCTAATGGGATCGAGGCGGATTAATCTCAATTACTACCCCATTTGCCCAAACCCTGAGCTCACAGTTGGAGTTGGCCGCCACTCCGACGTCTCAACACTCACTGTCCTCCTTCAAGACCAGATTGGCGGGCTTTACGTGCGAGGTGGCACCGACAAGAAGAGTTGGATTTATGTCCCTCCGGTGAAGG